GTATAGTAGTAAGCGTACACCAACCGTCTAAAAATGTCTTCATACCATTTCGTGTAATTCCTTCAATAGTATCCTGAGTGGGCTTTCATTGTCACGTTATGAGATGAAGTATCCATTCAAATCTCTTGCAGAGCAGTGCAACCCTTTGTTAGAAACTGTCTGTGGAAGTGGACAGAGTTACCTCCTAGATCCCTTTCGGTGACCCCTGGTCCACACGGTACAGAGCAGGACTTCCTTAACATACTATACACATACGTGTAATGTTGTTGCATGACATTCAAACTGATATTTTACATTCTCAGAGCTGTAATTTAACCAAATTAATTTCAGAACCAAATCTAACGTTATTTTACACGCTTTTACTTAACTCTGTTGTTGTATCCTTAAATCTTGTAACTCAATTTTAACCCACTTCCCAATGTGGTATCGACTGCAAATTTGGTATACTTATGTCATACTGATGACAATACTATATTCTATCATAAAAACATATTTCTAAACATTATTTTTTATATGTTATGTTTCGGCTTGGGTCTAATTGTCCACGCTCAACTCACGTTGGCTGTAAATCACCACAGTCTCTTACGTTATGGCAAAGCTTTGCGGCCACTTCCTGGAGTCGTGGAGGTCTGCCAATTCGAGTACGGTACATTTCATTAAAGCGTGTTTTTTTAAAGTATGTTTAAATATTACTTGTTTGTACAGTTACTGGTTACCAGGATAAGACCATCAACTCACGAGATAACCTCGGAGCTCAGTGGTATAATAATATCAGCGCTCTGACCTCTGAACCGCTCAGAATTATACAATATAAAGGCATTTTTTTGTTTAAATTGCTAATTACGTTAACAAGCAATTATATCAGCATTCTCGTTAAATTGTCGACCCTGGGAAGTTCGCCGAAAACTTTACCAATGTAATTCATGAAGGCATGGTACCAGCTGAACGAGCAATTATAAATAGTGCTAAAACACCGTAATTCATACACACCATACAGTATAGGCCGTATTTAATTTCGTTAAACCTTGTACAAATAACATTACAACCATTGGTGCATGGTCATGAACAATACGAACCCCAAGCGAGGGACAACACACAAGCGTCGAACTTCAGGCATTGCTGCTGTTTTCTCTACGTTTAGTCGTGCTCAGTGATGGTCGTGACATCATTATACCACAAACTTCACTAACTACATTTTCATACTCAAAGGAAGTTCCCCCCCCATCCCCCCCATTAAACATTCCACAGCCATCGTATGCACAGCAACATGCTGGATTGAGGCACATCTAATTGAGATATGATCTTACGCAGAGTACGCCTGGTTTTGGAAGTTTAAAAAACCGCCTTGTTTTTGGTGCATTTGAGCTTGTGTTCTCAAATGCAGTACTGAATCCAAACAACGGTACACAACATTTAAAACATTTGTAAAAACGCAAGATAAAGTAATACACTACACTATTGTTATTTCTCGGAGGAACTTTGAAAAGGGAAGAAATATTTTGCTTGACTATATAATACACTACAGTACCCCATTAAAAATACTGTATTATAATGAGAAGTGGCATATTGGTCACTGCTTTGTATGAATCGAGTGCCCACTCCATATCATCAACCCGCACTGACCCATCGTGGGGAAGTATGGTCAAAACAACCATTGTGACGACACGACGTGGGGAGACCTCCACATCCAACAGTGGATTGATGAAGAGATAACACCGTTTGTAGTCACAGTATTTTATTATCAAGTACTTAACCTACTTTATGATATGCAGTGGATAGTTGGGGGCAGGGCAACATATTTACACACACAAAAAGCCCACAGTTTGCAAGTGTACTGTGTAATAAGATGTTTTTCTTATCCAGATTTTGTATGCATTCCACAAAACCCAACTACAAAGCAGAAAATGTATGTTGCAAGGAACTCAGGGCACATTCTGAGAAGTTTGGCAAGGCATCTGGGCACAACGTGGGCCTCACAACGCAGGCAGTTAACTTTGCAGGCGTGGCTCTGAAGCTCGTGATCTTTCGAGAGAAAATTACTTTCAGATGCGCTCTAAAGGCAATTGTGCTCAGTGATGCTATATTCAAGGGCAATTTAGCTGACGCTACAACAGATACCTACAAATCGGGATGCTGTCGAGGTGCAATTGTGAGCACGCTGGATTTGCAATTGGAACGATGGGGCAAGTTTCTTGCATCTCCACGTCTCCTCTGTGTGTAGTTGATGGGCAGGTCGTGTGTGGCGTGGGTATTATCATCATCATCCCCAAGTCTGCTGGCCAGTGTGGCCGAGCAGACAAACATACCCTCTATAGAGGGCTCTCTAGAGCTACCTGTAGTGGGAGCCCTTCCGCAAGCTGTGGCGTGAGCAAGAACTTGCAGGGGCTGTATCCTTTACCTGTATACCCTTGTAAAGTGTAACAGCAAGTGTTGCGATTGAAAACTGTCGTGGTTTTTTTGCTTTTAATTTAGATTTTTGTTTTCTATCTCCGTTACTTTACCGAAAGAACCAAGAATATAGCAAGATACAAAGTTGGGGTTTTACGTTTTGCCAATAGTTTAATTGCATGTTCTGGACGTACAGCATAGTACTTTACACATCAAACATATACTGCTTATATATAAGTATCGAGACAGTATTTTATCTACTGCATATGCATTGTTTTTCTGTGATGGATGAGTAACACATACAAAGGTTGTGTAAAGTTACAGAAAGTTAAACTAAAGTCAGACTCTACAGTATATAAAAAAAACTTTGACATAATTCCAACATAACGGAACAAATATTCCAACATGTCCAGGCAACCAACTTAAACCATATGTTTGCTGCACCATGGGTGCTCTCCAGGGTAAACAAATCACTCACACGGCAAGCATCTCACCTGGCTGACAGAGGACCAGTGTTGCTACCTGAGATCTCAGCGAAGTTTTGGGTTTCCCGAGAGATTTTTTTTCATCTGTATAAAAGATACCGAAGGATAATCTAACTACGGTACCGTACTCTTTGCAACGAGGGCATTTTACAGATTTAGGATCGATTCCAGTTATGCATTAAGTGCCCTGTATCATGTTACTGTGTACATTGGGGTATTTTTTGACTTTAGAAAAGCTATCGTGTGACTTTTAAAGTTAGTTTGACGACTTTTCAATTTCCGAAGTTGGGACATCGCAAAAATACCATCTCACTACACAGGATAAATAATTCCCAGTGTAACTAACTCGTAGATGGAGTAACCGTGTGAATACGACAGCCTTCGTGTACACATTCTTGAGCCATACATTTTTGTAGTTTTTTACAGTACTGTACAGGGTGGTCCAGATGTCTTGTGACCCAAAATTAATTTACTCCTAAGCTTTTTTTTCCTCCCTTTACATGTTCACTTATATTTTGAATAAACCATACTTACATTTTAATTATAAAGTTTTGGAGAATTAAATGGGGGGTGGGGGAAGGGGTCGCAAGACATCTGGACCACCCTCTAACTCCCGTTACATGCGCACACAGCATTCACTCTGCAGTGACGATGGCTCAGGGCGACGACGAAGACTCGTTATGTTCAATAAGCCGCTATCGCACTCGGCTGCTAATGTCTATTCTCGACATTCAATTTAGCGAAATTCGTTGAAAAAAATAATAACTGAACGTCGCGGACCACACGGGAGAACATCACGTGGCAACAATGAACAATGGGCACTCACAATCACGGTGGTGATGAAGATGGGGCTGCTCGCTCGCTCTCTCGCTGTCTCTCGCTCGCTGTCCACACCGGAGTAGAGTTAATTCACGCAGCTTTCTGCCTCTGCGCAATGAAGACTCTTCTTGGTTCGAGACTCGGGGCTGCGGGGGCACTCTGGGTGGACGCAACGCGTGCCGGACGGGCGGAGCCCCGAGCTGGAAGGGATGGAGGTGGGGGACGTAGCCCAGGCAGGGTCCTCCTCCTCATCCGTGCTGCCAGAAGGGAACTTTCCTCGCGTTTCTTTCCTCTACTTTCCACGCAACACGGATTTTTACGGACTATCAGCCCAAGCGAGTGTCTTGTTAATGCCCTGCAGAAGTTGGTGTCCAGCTGAACCCTTCCAATGACTGCACCTCATTGATCACCTGATTGATAAGACAAATAATTGACGTACCCAAAGCAGCACTCTTAAAGGAGCGGAAAGGGTGTCGTCTTGATTTTTTGTCGAAGTCTTTCTCCGTGTCACGCTGTGTCTCTCTCAAATGTCGCTCCTTGTTTGTATGTCTCTGTCGCCTCTGCGACTATGTCTTCTGTTAATCTCATTGTCTGTGCTTCACCTCCCTATTACCACGAGGCAGCGCCCTTTAAAGTCGTTTCGTTCCCCCGTGTCACTTCAGCTTCACTGGATTGCTGCATTCTAACAATATGCAGCATTCTAATACCAATATCAAAAGTGGAATCGGTACGTGGATGGCATTGCAGTGATCAGTGCAAGCGGCATACGATGGCATTGTGGTGATCAACAGTACAATGGCTAAAAAGATGGGATTGTTGTAATCAGTAGTGGAATAGGCATACGAATTGGATTGTGGTCATCAATAGTGCAATATACACGTAGATGTGATTATTCTAATCAATAGTGCAATATATACGAATGGGATTATGGTGATCAACAGTGCAATATGCATACGAATGGGATTGCGGTGATCAGTAGTGCAATAGGCACATAGATGGGATTAATATTCTTGGTTCTTTCGGTAAAGTCACGTAGAATGGAAACAATAAAATAATAAAAAATATAAAACAATATAATTTAATTGTTTTATATTTTTTCTTATTTTATTGTTTCGCTTCTACGTGACTTTACCGAAGAGAACCAAGAATACGAATCCCTGCAGTCACGAAAGCTTCAAATCAAAATAGATGGGATCGTTGTGATCAACAGCACACAAGGCATACGGATGGGATTGTGCGTTCATCAACAGTCCAATCGGCATAGTGGACGTGACTCGCGTTGATCCGATGGACGTCCGCGTACGTTGACCCGGCCACGTGCTGGATCGCCGCCGCTGCACGTGGGCGGCGGGGGGGAGCGCTCGCGCGTCGCTAAGTTTCCGATGACGGTACCCACGTGATCCCAGCCAACAGCAAGCGGGCAGCCCCTAGCGCGCGCCGGAGCGTCTCGCCGGTAAACGTATTAAATTGTATTCGGGTTTTTTATTGTAAAGTTTGTTGTTGTCTGATGGGGGGGGGGGGGGTGTTGCTGCTGCTTCTTCGTGGTCGTTATTTCCGTTATAGGTTAATGGTAACGTTAACTTTGCCGTGAAGTTTGTTGTTCTGCCAGTGCAGCCTGCGGAGGCTAGGCCCTAAGTTGTTCCCGCGCAGGCCTCGTGTCGCTGCGAGATGAGAATTGTTACTCCTTAAAGACACGTGCAGAGACACACATAGACCGACAAATACGTAGACCGACAGGAGACACAGTGAACGAGACGAGGTAACGACACGGGACAACTAGAACGAGACAGACGAGGAAGGGGGTTTACGCTGGGATACATGGACAGTAGTTCACGGACAATGAGACGTACACATAGACCTGGAGACAACAGCGAGACAGAGACCACGAGTGAGACACAACCAAGGAGAAAGTGCGAGACAAGACTAGGGCCCAATGCGACAGGGAACGAGACGGCGAGACGAGGACAGTACGCGTACAAGCAGATAAAGAGATGGACACGGAGACAATCAGGGAGGCAGGCTGGCTTCTATGGGATAGATGCAGAGACTGAGAAATGACATACACGTGGAATTATGCGCATGACTGAGAAAAAAGCAGATCTTGTACAGAGACAGGTATTCCAGATATAGACACAGTGCCATACAAAGATACGTAGACAGACACCCATGGACCTTGAGTACAACGACGTGGTCTCATATAGCCCTGGATTCCTGCTTCGGGAGCACAAACGTTTAAATATTACAAAACTGCGCTGTGTAAGACGGTTCATAGTGCAACTGCACCTTTCTTAAAAGTTTCCACGTGAAATGAACGAAACTATGTTTCGAGTTCTTCTGATACACGTAGGCGTTTGCTCCATCGGCCTTGTTAACACGTTAATGTCGTGGACTTTTTTTGAGGATTACGATATAACCCCTGTGACAACGCGTTTTCTGTATAACGCGGTTCGCCCATTAGGGAACACTTCGCACAACGCAGAACGCGCCCGTTATAACGCAGAACGCGCCCCATTATAACGTGGAACGCGCACGTTATAACGCGGAACGCGCACCATTATAACGTGAAACGTGCACCGTTATAACGTGGAACGCGCACCATTATAACGCTGAACGCGCCCGTTATAACAACACTAATTACAACGTAACTAGTTACTACGGACCAGACCCCAGTTTGGGTCCAGTTCCACGTGTTGGAGACTCTGTAGGACGTAGAATGTAGACGGAGGTTTCTTCAGGTTGAACAACAGCGCCGGGCACTCTGGGGGACCCGGCTTATATCCTCTGCGGCGTGGCTGGCTCCGCCCTTGGCCACGACCACCTTCCAGAATCCTCGAGCAGGATCTCGACCCTGACACGTGACCACCCCTAGCCCCCACTTGGAGCCCCTGTGTAAACTTAACTAGTCACGTGTCCTTTGGGGTCAACCAGAGTGCCACGGCCTATAGTAACCCCATTTCCATGGCCGGGACTCCGACACCCTATCCTGTAGGGGCCGGCACTGCACACCAAGCATGGTGCCATCCAGCGCTATCGATCAGCGCTCACCGGGCCCCTCTAGGGCCGGCACTGCACAGTGACATCCCGCGATGTCACTATGCACTTAACAGCTATCCTTTGATGTTTTCAATAAAACGGGCATTTGTACAGCACTTAAATGCAACATTTAAATTTGCTATATAAATTGGGATATGCACATTTTGAGGCAAGGAGGTGGATTTTTAAGGTTGTTTGAGGGCAGGTGGGGAGTCGTAAGTTAGAGAAAACAGCCCCCATCAAAGGTAACAAAATATATTCACCATCTATTTATGAACATATAGTGCTATTACCCTGTCATACCAACTCTTGCACTTTAGTGATATTTAAAGTTGAGCAGCTCTGACAAATAGTATTTATCTTGTAGTACTGCAGGGCATCTTTAAATTTAAGCCACGTTTTTATTTCCCTTGGAATGGCAGCAGCACAAGATGATTATCCCGGTGCGGTGCTTCACGTGCGGGAAGGTGGTCGGCAATAAGTGGGAAGCCTACTTGGGTCTGTTGCAGGCCGAATACACAGAAGGGTACGTTGACTAAGTGTTGTGCGTTCATATATGATTCATGGTTAAATATATTCATACATAATTTGGTTTTCACTTTGTGCAAGTCATCTCATGACCGTGCCGCCTTCCTGACTCGTGTGTGCAGAGATGCGCTGGATGCCCTGGGACTGAAGAGATACTGCTGTCGCCGTATGCTGCTCTCTCATGTCGACCTGATTGAAAAATTACTCAACTACGCACCTTTGGAGAAATAACTTTGCTGCACATTCCTACACAAGGCCTGAACGTTTTTTTTCCCCATGGCCACGAATGATAAATGATTGGGCATACATTCGGCCATATTCTCATTTTCATTACTTTCCTCAATTGGCTGAAAAATTACATGAGCGAAAATGGCAACCGCAATAATTTTGCTTTACAGAATACAAAATAATTTTGTTTAGTTTTCAGTGAGAATTATTGCATGTTCATTCACCAGTATTTAAGTTAAAGTTTTGCATTGTACATTTTAAGTTTAATAAAATGTATGTTGCTCATTTTGTTGATTTCCTATATTTTCTGTAACATGCTTTGTTTAAAAGTATATGGTCAGATGCAAATACTTAAAAAAAAACTTTATTAAATGAATATGCAGTTTAACAGTTAATTGTATCCATCTCTATGCTGCTGGATATTTTCTGGTGACATCTACCAATGATTAAGGCACATTTAAACGATGTAGCTTAAACTTTTGCATTGTCCTGTTTTAATACAATCATGGTATATTAACATTAAACACAAACTACGAGTATAAACACAAAACTGACCGTGTAAATATATATTAAGTCAATGTTAATTTTTCAAATAGCAATTTCCTATGCAAGTTTTATAGTATACTAGCTTGACAACCCGGCTTCACCCGGGACTTTAATTCACCACGCCCGGCCGCCTTTGTCTCCCCAGTAGCGATGTTCACACACCAGTTACTCGTTTGCGGCTGAGTCGACCTAGGGGAGGCCCAGGAGCGGTTAAAATTATCGTCACCGGTGGTGGCCGTGAGCGGGAATTGAACTCGGGTCGCCAGGTTCCTAGCGCAGCGCGCAAATCGCTCCACAGTCGCTGCCCCCCCACACACACAGGATAAAGACAATGTGCTTAGTATATTAATACTATAGGTACAGTTCATTGGGTCAGAATTATGACATGTTTGATTCACAAAAACGTGTTATCAAAATGCAGGTTCCTGTCATTCTTTTAATAGTAGGGGTCTAACTTTATACTTCTGTATAAGCAGCAAGTCAGTATCATCCCCAGCACCTGAAAGAAAGAATGTATGTTACTGTGAGAATAGCAAACAGGTTATTATTTTGCTTGAGCAAAGCAATCTGGTTTCTTAAATCCGTTCTTCAAGCAATATATGATCTATACAATTTAAGACACATGGTAACATCATTTGGCTATGTACATTCTTTGTTCTAGAGGTAGTATAGACTGCTAAACAATAAGGGTTGTATCTTGAGTTAAAGCTTTCGTGACTGCAGGAATTAATAGTCTTGGGTCTTTTGGTAAAGTCACGTAGATAGGTTCAAAGAAAATTAAAAACTGACGTTTCGTACGCAACACAAGCAATCGTCATCATGATGACGTTTTTTGTTATTTTCTTTGAACCTATCTACGTGACTTCACCGAAAGACCCAAGAATATGAATAAGGGTTGTGATTCATATCTCGGTGGAGGGCTATTTAGACCCCCAAGAGCAGTTCAGTGAATAACCAAAACAATTCTAGAATGTAAATGTCTTGAATCTGCCAGTAGGCATTGTAATGCAAATTCACATAATGGACACATTTGTCTGCATAAGCAGCCTGAGAATTTTTATAATCTTGCAGCTGTGTGAGCAAAAGTTATGCTGTTGCTATACCCAAATACCATTTTCGATAAAGGTGAGTACACATTTTAGTTAAAACATGTTAAAGTATTATAAGCATGGAGAGTGCATGTTTGGAATTGCACGAAGAATTAAAATCTAAATAACCAGGAAACCCTTCAACAATGCAGGATGGAAACCGGTTTAACAACTGCAAAAGCTACATGTCTTTTGAGTTGGTGGTCTGAATAAGGCTGGGTGATTTTGTACATCTCTGTATTGTTAAATATATTGCACTAAGGAAGAGGAAGATTAATATTGAGAATTAAGAAATCGGACACAATACTGTATAAACTTGAGCGAAAGAGGTGGGCTTGGCAGAACACCACTAGAAGGGATGGTGGACAAGACTAGTGATGACATGGAAGCCAAAGAAGGAAAAAAACCCGATGTGGAACGCCGCCGTAGAAATTGAGCACTAAGATCCGTTTATTTGCAGGATTGTGGCATTGCAGGATTGAGTTGATGGTGACCTCATGGAGAGGTTTTAAGCAGTGGAGAGAGAAAGACTGATGGATTCAAAGCATCACTGGCAAAATGAATGTTCCCCGCATGCAGCGATTCAGCTTCACATTCGGAAATCTACTGGTATCACTGCCACCTGTAATTGGTGGATCCAGGAGTCTAGCTGCAAAGTGGCTTCATGATATATGCAGAGTTAAGACCAATGAGAGAGCAGAGCTCTGGGGATCAGAGAACAACGAGAGCAGATAGCCAGAGTAATAGGCAGAGAGCAGGCAGCGAAGCAGAGGAAACATTGACACGTTGGTACTGTATAAATAATGGCAACAGCAGCAAAATATGATTGGTGATGTGAAATGTATCTCAAGCATCAGCGTTCATAAGTTTAGAAGTAAATGTATCTGATATTGGGAAATTTAAATGCCTTAATAGGCAAATGCACCACCCCACTGCTGGTGCTATGCCACACATTGATACACTACAATATAATAAACTTAATTTGATATAGCTGACAACACCAATGCTGTCTCGCCAATGGCTCTGTATTGGTTGCAGCTACATTAGAAGATGTGTGCCGAACCTACCGAGTCTGCCCTAAATAAAAAAGGCGAATTTGACGCAGTAAACTTGGCAAATACCCAATTTATAGCAAGTTACTTTAAAACACTGCAAATAAATATATGCCTCGCACCCTATTTAATACTTGGATTGGTTAACGTTGCACAGTTTGAAATTATGCACACTAAAATATCAGTTTCAGACTTTAATGGCGTTCTACTTTAAAGCATAAATGCATTGTTCTGTTTTTATTTAAGGAAAGTTGATGTTGGACATTGCAACATTCAATAATGCAATGTTAATTATAACAAATGCACAGTTTTAACCTACTTAAAACCAATGTACAACAGCAAGTCGTATAAGTTATATTAAAGTACACATCTGGATACACTGATAGCACATCACACCAAAACGGGTAAAAAATACAGTAATCTGTAAAAGGGAAATTGTTTAATGCTTACAAATATTTTATGGGGGAAGATACTCTTCTAATGTGCTCGCATATCTTTTATTTTTGTAGTTTTATAAATACACAAGTAATACCCACCCCAACTAACTAGTCAGGGTGATGGGATAACGAGAGCAAAAGTTAAGAGTAAACAGCAAACGTGCTACTGTAAAGAAATTTGGTAAAACTCGCAAAAAGGTTTAACTTGAGTGCGTGCAGCCATATAAACTGGCAACCTGCCTTGCCCATCCTCCTAAAGCCCACATGGGACTTTCTGAAAGAACATTCCCGAATTAGGGAAGGAAGCAGAATGTGGGGCTGGGTCAGGAAATGGCTGTGTTTAAAGCACAACACAACCTACAGTAGAGGTTACAATGCAACCTGCTTTTTAGCTATCAATTCATTTTCAGTTCCACTGCTACAGAAATGACATACATATGGGCAGCATTGTTCATATTTACTAGCATTTTACTGTCATTGTGGAGAGTTATTGTGAATTTTCTATTTACGACATTGAACCATCAGCATTCTCCAACACGTTTTTAACCTCGTGTTAACAGAGTAATTCATAGTTTCTAACTTTCAATTATCCCAGTTTTCTTAAGAATTTTTTTTGCTTTAATACTTGTAGATTTAAAATTTTGTAAATGAAAGTTAACACAGGGAATTGGTTTTCTCTTATTGCCCTTAACTTTACATAAATATTGCGAACAGCAACAGAAATACAATTATATAATGCTCGTTACTTGAAAATGTCATACAATGATAAATACTGTCATTCTGCAATTATGAAATCATTAACAGGCAAATATGCGTTATAAAAAATATATATTGAATTGCAGTGAATATATTTTTCAGACTAGACATTATAATCTGAGGAAGAATTCTGAATAATTTTTCATACTGACCAGCATGGATAGGAATATAAAACCATTATAAATCCTGTTAAACCTGTATTTTTAATTTATACCCTTATACCATTATGTCACCAATCGAGAAGCACACCTTAAGGCTGGAAGCAATAAGTGTGTTTATCAAATATGGTATGACTGCAATACTACTTTGTATCGTAATTAATGAGCTTCTTTAGTTAAAACACCTCTAGAGCCAGTAAGACAAACCATACTTTTCCTGTTTTTAACATTTGAATGTCAGGTTTTTGAAAAATAATACGTTTAATATTTCATAAAGATAGCATTTAAAATAACTTGTACAATCTGATAAGGTAGTTTGGTTTGTAAATAAAAAATATTTCCAACTGCTTTTTTGCTTATTCTCTAATAAAAGTGAATTATTAAAATGGCACTCACATTTTGATCATTTAATTGTTGGCCGTAGATGGATCGTAATACGTTCATCATAGAAAATGTATAGCACGTTTGATAAAACTGCAAACGTTTTTCCAATCCGAAGTTATTCATTATAAGTCTGAGAATGTTTTTACATTTAACAAGTGTGCAATGAACCATCCAGTCACACCCCTTTCTAGCTAACAACTGCTGTAACACTGTATTTTTTTAACCACTTATAAAAAGGAATATACTCTGAACATCAATAAAAAACATACAAAAGTGAAACAAACAAAATATTGTATAGCTTTGGTTAACATTGAAGTCGTTTGAAACAGATAAACTTACAATGCAATGCAACACCAGATTGTTCAAGTTGAATATTGATATATATATATTTTTGTAATGGTAGCTATTTGCATTTTCATCACAGTAAAACGTAGAAAGAAAATGCGTATGAAATGAGCAAAATATGTAAAGCTATCTCAACTGAGTATGAACCTGTATTACACAAACAACTGACACTATCCATCTCAAATTATCAAATAAAGGCTGGTCATACCTGCAGGCAGGCCACGCCAATTCCCACCGCACCAATGAGCAGCAGATGTTCCTGCAGTATCACTTCCAACTTCGTGATGCACCCACCCTGCAGCAGAGGCACAACACTTTTATATTAAAATCTAATAAAGGTACACAAAGGATCTGGTGCACTCAGATCATGTTCATTCAAACTCAAAGGACTCTAGTGTACCACAAAACTGAAACATGTGCATTGTTAAACCCTTGGCCAGTCTTCTGTATTTCTTCTAAAATTATATGCAACTCATTCACATATTCCTTCTATAACTGAAGCAATGCTCCAATATGATGCTGATTATTAAGAGTATATTCCCATATGAGAGTGGAAAACAAGGAAAAAAAAACATTGTTCAGCCCAATGTCCATTGCTGAATGAAGGCCTCTCCATATGGTATCAATCAAGGGGGTTATTTGCCGATATTTCACATCACTGGTGAAAGGATGCACAGAACCGGTTCAGATATCAAATTCCATTCACGGTAATGTTGGTCAGGAATCAAACTCGAATGAATTAGTTATCACCACTGCACCACCATTCCCTTCATTATCCAAGAAGTAAACAAATACAGTATTAATAAAATAAATGGGCAAAAGCAATGCAATCGACAAAAGTATACTTAAAAGAACATTTTCTACAAGCAATTCCTTTACCTTCAATTGGTTTTGAGGAGAGAAGTTGCGAATCACATTTACACATGTATATTATAGCTGTTGAAATCAAACTGTAGATTAAAACTCCAAAACAGGTCATGATTGTGTAATTAAAATTAACAACAAAAAAATCAACCAAAAGCAGCAGAGGTACACATGGAGTATATTTTAAGACCAAATACTGCGCACATGATTGACCGTTGCCATGTTGCTCACCTGGCTATAGCAACCCAATCCTGTAATGGCCACATTATTGTCAGATCCACCATGCACGAAAGGGTATTTGTTGTTTTTAACCAAGTAAAACTAGAATTTACTTTTGAAATAATCGATCTACCCATTGTTGTTTGGACTTGAGCGTATACAATCTCTCAAAACTGCCCTAGAGGAGTTGTACACCCCTAGCTGCCACTGCTATTCATTGGCGTAAAATAAAATAAAATGTTTCGCTCCGGATGACGCTGCAAAGTACTATCTGTATTTTGATTTAGCGTGCTGATCTTAAAGGTGCATTGAAAAAATTGATACTCCGACTGATGCTTCTGTTGTTGTGGAGTAACTCATGCATCCAGCTATGGCTCTAGGATTGTGTTACATGTTATTTATGTAGTTTATTGTAGTAAAAATTCGGTCACAGTCCCTATGATCACTGTTACGTTGCAATTATGGCTTTATTTTATGGTGATTTCGAAAAGTTTTTTGGTTTGGACATGTTTGTTTTGTTGTAGTACGGAGTTAGACTGATGACCTTAATCTAAGTTTTTGTGGTTGTTGTTTGGCTTGCATCCCACTGGGATTTTTTGCACACAGCGTTGGTGCACGGTACTTTTTTCAGGAATATGTTGCTGTTTTTTCATGGATTTTCTGTTTGCACAGTCACATAGTCACTTTAAGATGTTTTCTTGTTCGTGTTTTTTGTTGTGGTTGCACCCAATTCAAGAGCCGAATGGCTCACAGGGCTATACCAAAATAAATAAACTGAAACTGAACAATCGCGGGTTGAATGACACATATGTACGCGATCTAACCCAAAAAAACCTGTATTATGGATGATATTGGTAGCGAAAGCCTACGTTAAACCAAAAATTTTCATATAGTTGAAATAAATTATTTCAACACGAGGCTCAGAGCACGTGTTTGAAGTACAGCCTTATTTCATTGATAATGGAACTGTCGTCATCACTAGTCATCAATGTTACTGTGCCACACGGGGAATGCCACTATGTTGGGAGTTTCCCACGTTTCAAGGTGGATGCCCAGCGTCTACCATTTTCAAATTAATGCTGATTATTTAATAATGTATATAACCCTTTAATGGTTTATGCATTACAATCAAGTGTCGGAAAAATGAAAGTGTGCAAACGGGCCACCTCCACCCTGTTGATATTGGAGGGATGGTCACGGCGGCCACAGCGTGTCGTCGGGGATTTGCAGCAACTGTCTGGCACCAGACGGCCTTCTGCTGCGGCGACCTTCACCCAGTCACTCCGCTGCCAATCATTCCAGTCGTGGCTCCCGCAGCACTTAAACTACCAGGGTCCATTCATAAACAAAACAAACAAAACATGACCATTCTCGGAATACATTTCTTTGTCAAATGTATATTTTTGTTATGTACTGTATACACAGTTTTTCTAAAGATTTTATAGTGAGAAGCGGGCTAAATGCTTGCATGCAAATTATCTGTACCTGATTGCAATCTCAATGAGATTTAGCAACCTGAATTAAAGGCAGAATGTTTACATGTGTAGTCATAGATTTAGTTTGTAATGTGGAATGTTCTTCCAATGGCATATTATTGCTAGCCAGATCAGCTTCTTTGTGACTTTTATAGAGGGAAACTCATTGGCCACTTTTCATGCATTATGGGTTACATTTACGAATATCATATGCACTTTTCAGTTTATATATGAAGGCAGTTTTTCAAGCTCTGTAAAGGGAGGCATAATCTGCCCATGAGTTGGGGGTCTTAGTGTTGATTATCGTCATGAAACTTTCCCAGAAAATTAAACGCTCCTTATTATCCAGGCGCTGTGAGCAAGCTGACTTGGAACGCCATGAATTATTGTCCAGCTGCTTTCACATACCCAGTCCATCCTCGTGGGATTGAAGAAAATATTTTCCTCCAATAAAAACATTCCCTTTATTCTGCTGCCACCAACTGACCACGCATTTACAAGAATGTAGGCATTTCCTGTTTCATTCCATACAGATTACACATGGTTGTTTTGTAACTAATGATCCTGATTTTTGCAAAGTATCAAATCGTAGATTCTTGCACAGTATGTTTTCCATACCATAAACTTTGAAATAAACAGTATCTTAGAAAAAAAGAGCAAATGGAAACTTACACGGCTTGAGGAAAGCGCCAGGGATTTGGGGAATTTATTGATATTCAGTTGTATATTTTTACAATGACATGTTTTGAAGCAAAAGTTGAGATTACTTCTCTTAAATTAGGTGGTCATGTGCATCAGCTTGACTTTGGAAGGGGGGCTGCGTCAAGAATAGACCATATAGTCCTGCCAAACACATGATGGATTTTCCATTTATATAACTCATGGGAGCCATTAGCATAGTGTAATGAAATATACAAAAAATAAAAATCATAGAAGTCGGCCAAAAGCCAACAGAAATGTAACCTATATACCAGATCAAATACATTTGTTTGATTTAAACTGGTTTCCTTTGTATTTTGCATTGTATATTGTAATGCACTGACTTTATATTTATACCAGTGCTATGAATATGAATTTATCACCCTTCAGACTGAAGTAGCAGAACTTTGTATGACGTCAACTGTGTCTTAAGGAGAGATTATTCTCTGCCTTTGGAATGTGGAATGTCTACCACTAACTCAGGACAGTCAATGCAGCTAAGCATGGCCCAATACTCCATTGAATATGGGACACAATTTAACACATTGAAGTACTATGTGTGTAATATGTAGATACGCATTTAATAGAATGTTCCCAAACGTTCTGCACTGGTGTGTATAAAACTACAGCTTGAATAGTCTGTAGAACAAAAAATAATTACTGAGAATACTTCCACATTTTGTATTATTTACTTAGCCAGAGAGCTTGGCATGCAGTCGAGGTTAAAGGGTCCTACCTCCTGTTGAAGTTTATCCATGGCATCAGTTACCCTCTGCTGATCAGGCTGCCCATAGCTCTCCACAATTGTTTTGTTCATGTGGCTCTTTAACTCTTCACTCAACTAGAACAGCAGGATATAAAAACAATATTAGAACGTTACATTTTTGTTATTCAGTTTCGAGTTGAAACCCAAAAAGTGTCAATAAAGCATATTATCACCCTCCACTCATTAAAGCAAGTGACCTTATTAAACTACTTAATGGTCCAAAAATATGAACATTCGTGGGGAAAAAAGAAAACCCAAAAGTATTTTAATTCGAATAATACAGCTATTTAAGAATGTGTCAGTATTAAACCGACAGTGCTGTCACTTGTTATACTGGAAAATATTTAATGTCTATTCACTAAAATATTTCAGATCTTGCGCTAATACAGAAATCCTCAATTTTCGAGGACTGCCTTCATTTGATAAGATGATAGCTATAATTCAGCATTAAATTAGTACACAGATGCTGATGCCTAAAATCTAAAGTACCCACATTAACAAGAATGACAAAATGTAAAAGTAAATTAAAAGGAAATAACAATTTAATTATAATGAAAAGCAGAGAATGACCAATTTGTGGTCCCTCAGGCAAATTCTGGACGATATTCTGTTACAAGCCATCATTTTGACTTCTGGCCAATGCAAATCCTTGTTTTGTTAATCTTTCCCTTAACTGGAATGCTGGGAACTCAGTCCAATTTGTATAATTTGCTTCAGGGCTACGTAAATGTAATGCTAAAATGAAACCAGATGTGATTTAAATCACCGTTTCATGCACAAATGCGTAACAACTGAGAAGCTGATTTGAGCTACATTGTCAGCGATTGCCTTCACTGTTGTAAGCATACCTGTTGTCTGTAGAGGTAAGCCAGAATCCCGGCAATGACTTCCAGAAGGAAGATGAGCAACAGGAGGCCACAGTACTGAAAACAAAGAACAGCAATTCTCCTATGTGCAGCAATACTTGTCTACATTTCTACATGCTTAATTGATTGTTCACGCTTACAGTGGCTTTCAGACAGCATACATTATCAAATTTCGTCTCCCCCCTCCTCTTTTCAGAATATAGATGGACTAGTCCTAAATAAACTGCCAAATCGCTGCGCGTGGCGCTAACGTTTTTATAAATAAATAAATGCGCCGTTTAAAAAAAATTTTATGCAAACCAACACACCTGAAGACGACCGTTTGAGTTATGGTCGAAACGTCGTGAGAATTTTTTATTGTTATATATATTGTATTATTTTGTTGTTTCCCTTCAACGTGACTTTACCGAAAAAACTAAGAATATAAGTTTGGTGATGTTAGGTTTGCCAAATGAAGCTGCTGTGAACAATCTGTAAATGTTATTAATAGGCACAACCTATGACCAAATCACCCGGGATCTGCCCTATCTTGCCAAATCTCAAAAGGTAAGCAGGCTGGAACCTGGATCGTGCTCGAATGGGCCGATCGACATGCAGGAGATATGCTGTCAGTGGGTCAAGCAGGGCAGCAAAATCCATTGTTGTATTATGTCATGCTACATTTCGTATCATGTCTTTCACCAGCCCACACTGATCAGAGTGGTTGAAGTATGGTCAAAGCTCTCCACAACCTTCACAACATGGCAAAGCCCTCGTCCAGCAGTGTACTGACAAAAATGTACATGAACACACGCAACGTTGTAGACAGGCTCAAGAGAACCAACGATTAGGAAGTGGGACAGAGTGCGTGGATTGAGAGGGTAGCGTGCAAACTGCAGAGACTGACGGCAGCAAGGCATCCGCGTCGCTCGCGCACCACCGCACAGCATCCCAGCAGCCCCGTGAGCATGACCACGCTGCCAGCCAGAATGAGGATATAGGCAGTCGCGGCAAACGTGCTGGAGGCCAGCAGGCTGAGATAGTCACCCTTCTCCACCAGTGTCCACACGCCCACCGCCATCACTCCAGCACCGGTCAACTGAGACAAGTCACACAAAACGTTACGCATTGACGCCATGGCTACATCTGTAACTACAATGTATATCGTACTGCGAATTATCGGCTTGGGCCGATTCGTCAAGTAAATCAATGAATCGACTGAACATTGTAATTCACGATATTTTGTGGTTGATAGCTTGGTGGCTTGGCTGCTTGCACATCCGAAACTTCCTTCACGCAATGCCCAGTGTGACGCGACCAATATCGACGGCGTCACCAAACCCAACCCAACACCTCCCGTCCAGCGGCACAATTGGGAAGAGGGGTGCGAATCTATTGTCATGTTACGGAATTAGTCGCTCGTAATCAAACCGATAATTATCGGTGCAGTAATTTATTACAGCACAGTACTTAAAAAAATAGCCCAGTCCTACTGTGAATCCTATTAAGTTATTATTAAGTAGAAGTATTATAAACTATAAGTTTCCCACACTTAAAAACTTTTACGACGTGACTTTCAGGTAATTGCGACGTTAGATAATGCCCATTTTGAGTTATATAATTACGATTTTCAAATACAGAAATGTCTCCAAGCGAACACGGTGGTGGGGGGTAAGGGATTTCCTGCTGATCCGGAATATTGTGAACCTTTGGCCAACGCTCGAGAAATGTCACCCTCATGACAGAATACATTCACACAAGAGTGGTTGCACACGATGCCAATGAGAGAGAGAAAAAAAATCAAGCCACATCGAAAGGCCAACAACCCACCCAAAAGATGAAGTTGAACACGAGGAGCACGTATTTGAGACAGACGGTCCCACAGGCGTTCGTTTGCTCATCTTCGTACATTCCGAAGCTCGCGCTCATATTGCTGCCGAAGGGAAGGCAATGAAGCACAGCGTCATTTTAGTTTGTGTTTATGTCATGAGGGAAACTAAAAAAAAATAACTTTGAAACTACAACGGTACTGCAAGCAGCAATATAACGGCATTCGCATCACTCTGGGGTACCTTTTAACACAGTGGACAAAGCGAGTGTGTATTGTATGGACACCGTAAACAATGCATCAATGTGTTTACACAACAGAGCCGTTTGTGTGTGTGCGTTTTTTTTAAGTAAATTATGGAGCTGCAAGGTTAAAAACTTCAGTACAACATATAATCAACCGTTTTACAAGGTTGTATTTCGCAAACGTGAGCTGACCCAGACCTGCTGCGGCCTAGTGCACCCAGCCGGGGTAAAGCATCAGGGAGCCCGTAGGAGCAACTAGTCGAGACCGCCAGAGCGAATGACGTCGTTCTATCGTAATTGCACTTATATTAAATTAACAAAACAAAAAAAACTTTAACGAGCTACGAGAGAATATGAACTTATTCCAAAACGAAGACATGTGTTTATTTTTTTTTACATACCGTCACACGGACGGTGTCGTAAAAAGCCACTAAAGTCCTCACTTGCCGCTGCTGTACTTGGTGGGATGCAGACGTCAATAAAGCCGTGCCGGAGGAAGCGCGGAGCGCATCACGGTTTTAAATAACAAACAAACAAAAAGGTTGTGTTCTAACGTCTCTCGCTCGTGTGACGAGTTAAACGTGTGTTTCCTTTAGCCTTACGATTAAAAAAACTTTTTTTTGAAATACTTTTTTTTGTGGCCTGGGTCAAAACAAAAAAATTTTGCCAATCGGGGAAAAAATAAAAAATAAACTATTGCATGCGAATGGTTTTCCTCTTTGTCTGCATCAAGTGAATGAGTCAGTGCCCCCCCGTGTTTATTGCAAAAGGTCAGTGAAACGACAACGTGTTAAGGTGGATCGTTGTGGATCAGCTCTCCGGAATGATTGACCGAAACCGAGGTCCCTCTCGTCCACGACAAATCCGAGGAAATATTTTTTTCCGGAGCAGAGCACTCCGCATGAACTTGAAGCCCTGAATGTGAATATTAAACGCAAAAAAACTCCACTCACTGCTTGTGGGCTTCAACGTCCATGCGCACACAATGTGCCCTTGGACGTGAGAAGAAACGTTCGCTCTTTATTTGTTTGACCTGCCATCACCATTAAACAATACTAAAAGTCTGAGACGCGCGTCTGATTGTCTATTCATAGTGTTCATGTTTCCCTGATTTCCTACACAATTTAGAGCAAAAGCATTTTATGTAGCTGCCCCGAAAGTTTTGGGACCACCGAGTTTTGTTACTTGGCTACTCCATTCTGCCCTCTCTGTCCTCATTTAAACTATTAAAATCACTCAAGGTCAAGTGTCAATGTCATTTTACAACATAAATGCTATGACGTTTTTTTAAATCTATATTTTTGGAATACTTTGATGTTTTATGCCGGCCCCACTCACCATTTAAAAAATAACTTCCTAGCTTAAAGGGCTTTACTCAGGAAATAAACTTCCGATTCTGACCACACGTGCTTTCACCTGAAGCCTATTCCACCATAATAGATATGGTAGACTTCTACTGTTGCACTGCTATTTCCTAACCCCACGTGGCGTCGCTTACTCAAAATCAGAACAGAATCTGTATTTATACTGGAGAAATCCGATGAGCTTCAAAGCTCTCTTTCACAGATGTCCATTAGGGGCAGGTCACAAAGTCACAACCACAAGGAATACAAAAACGCAATAATATATCTGGCCACAAATTATATAGCTCAACAAAGTGGCTTATCGTGTGGAAATTTTATGCAGCGAAATTATCTATACACACGTTTAGAGAGAGGCACGCAAACTCCAAATATACAGCCGAACCCATGAGCCACCTGCATCCCAGGCGAGGAAGAATACATCACACCACGGTGGTTTGCTCCTAGGGTACATATTCCAGCGATATGTATGGCAATGTGTTCTGGAGCAAAATGGCAATGTCGATTTGTTCCTGGAGTCTGAGTGTGAACATTGCAGATGGCCTGAAGGTATTCGTGTGTTTGATTTAGACAGCTCTGTTCTACACACGGCAGGATGAATTACATTGTGTAGTTTAGAGATGGGCGCCCACAGAACGCGCACGGTTAGTTTTGTGAGTAACAGCATTGGCACGCACCTCCGATTAGCACGGTTGGCTAGGTACGGTGCGAAAGAAGTTCAACATACGGTGCTTACATACAACCCACCGGCTACATTGGAAATGCTGTTGATGAGCACAAAGACGGACTAATGCTTGGAGTCTAGCAGATGGTGCATTCATTGTGCTGTGAACAGTTCATTGGAAGGATGTGGGTACTGTAGTAGTATTTGCACATGATAGATGATTGGCAAAGGAAAACTAATACTTTACTCATTCAAAGTTGGCAAACAATTTTCTTCAAAGTAACATATAATGGTGTTCTCATGTTTGAACATGAATTGGCTGATTAATGATGGCGCCTAATTTTCTTTCATAAGTATCTTGTAGAGTATTACAAACGTGAATATGTTAAAGCAGTTAATGTTACCCTGTTGTAGTGTTTGTACTGTATTTATATCAATCGTCAGCGTTCATTGGAGCTCTGTCATCCCGACAGTTTTGTTCCTTCACCTTAATCCCTCTCACACAGCTTAAAGGCCGTGGTCTGAGCTTGGCTCTGTTTCACTCCAGCGCAGTCTTCGAGACAGTCTGGTCCCTTCACCTGATGAAGGCCGCTTGTGTTGTGGCCGAAACGTTGTGATTTTTTTTGTTGTTTTGTTTTTTACCTACGTGACTTTACCGAATAGAACCAAAGAGTATGGATCCTTGCAGTCACGAAAGCTTCAAATCTAGAATATTCTAAAGTACTGTCAGAATTTGTTTTGTGAAATACCAAAATTGTAATATGTGAGTGCATTGCTACACCTGTTGTGCTCATGTACTAAATTTCGTTATTAACCCTGGGTTGTGACATTTATACATTTAATTTATTATCTGATATGCCATAAACACCTGGCAGCTTCATTTTTTAAGATTGGGCAACAACGTACTGTAGATCACTGCCGTAGGAGATGATACATATAAATATCTAAATACCAATTGCAAGCAAATCTCACTGGCGATGGTGCAGTAAATGTGTGTTTCCCATTTTCAAATTTCACGCACAATACACGTGGACACTTGTCAGTCGTGCACTTTCACATGGCTTACTGCCTCGTGTGTTACCAGCCACATTATCACATGAGAGAAGTGGGCATGTGGTTAGGTCCTCTTGCCCCTTTTAAATGTGGCCTCATTTTATGAGTGGTGGCGTGCAGGCCGGCCACCCTTGTATGGGTGACACATAAGTTATTCACGTGGGTGGGTATGGTTTTGACATGTCGTGTTTATTGGTGATAACACCATAAACGTCTCTCCTGGTCGTTGTCGACCCCAACTCTTGCATGATGAAGGTGAGGTCCCTTTGTAATCAACATTGATTCAAGACAGCAAATGTGCAGCCCTCCAATTACTTATGACGCTGCTGACAGAAAGGCTATCAATTAAACGAAACTCCAGAAAGCCCATCTAGCGGATATGTTTTGCCTATTCATTCACGCTGGGCAGATGTCTTAAAAGAAGTGGGAATGCTCACACTTTACCCCACTACACGTGACCTACCAATCAAATAAGTTGTCTATCTATGAACACTACTGAGTGGACAGAGACGGGGGCTGGGAAGGGTTAAGAGAATTGTCTATTGTTTCAACTCTAAACCCGAGAGATCGGATCGAATCGAGCTGGCAACTTCTGCATTGCCCAGTGTGATAACCATTCGCCACACAACAAAACTATAATCGTTCTGCACCTTTATGTCAATAAATGAAAGTGTAATTGCCGAATAACAAAAACGTGTTATTGCTGTGTGCTAGTTATCAAAAGCCTGACTTTCCCAATTGTGATGCTTTTAGGAGATTGACTTACAAACAGTCAAGGTGAACAATTTGTCCTTCACCTCGCCATTTCGCCTGCTGCTATTTACATTTATATCTCGTGGTGAGAAATATTTTTAAAAATGTACCCCGCGCAGTTGTACAAATCATGTTTTAGCAATCAGACCTGACAGGATCTGGGATGATAAAGAGTCATTGTAGCAAGCTTAAAAGTAATACGAGTTAGCCTACCTGCTTATCAAAATATTGGCAAATTTATTTGAATAGTACGTTGTACTTAAAAACGAATTGCAACATGTTACGTGTAAAAAAATGGTATTAAGTAATTTAGTACTGTATATCAACAAGCTTGCTTTCTTGCTTATGAGAAAATGTAATTCTTGAAACAGCTTAGGTTACCTGCAAACTGCTGTGATTTAATGCCTCGTAACGTTGCCTAACCGTGTATGCTGACAAATTGCTTTTGGCCAGCATATCACTCTCTTGAAACCCATTTCTTGTTAAAAGTCATGTTAAACTTACCACACATTTGATCCTACATATTTGAAGGGCAGAGGTAAAGTGCAGCCCTGCAATTGCATGCTCACACCCCTGACGGGCCTACACCAGATGGACCTCTCAAGAGTGCCTCTAGACTATTTTGGCCTGCTCTCGTGAACCTGGCCAGACGTCTTGGAAGAGGTCGGTGTTCCCATATTTTACCCCACCACATGCAAACTTTCTAAATGAACAACTGATGTACCCCGTGGTGGTGGTCGCGACTAGCATGTAGGGCATCCAAGACATGGTTTTTCTTTTGGAGCGTCAGGACATCAATGTTATGGGTTTTCATTACGATGGCGAGATACCATCCCACTTCGCCCGGAAAGAGTCCCTCAATGTTCGTTTGGAGGATCCTTGTCCCAGGGCCTTTCTGGCGTGTTGTTTTGTTCTGGAAAGGGCCGTTGTGGCTTGTGTTGTTGCTCTGGAGACCGAGGGATCGATGTTTTCGGTCGCCGCGTTAACAGCATTCGTCTTGTTTTCTCACTTAGCAGAATTGGCTGCGTCAAAGCTGTCACCTTCGACGCCAGTTTATACTGCTGGGTGGACAGAGGCTGGGACATTCATTTAAAAAAAAAAGTGGCCATTGTTTCAACTGCCGTTGAGTGTTTCATGTGTGTGTTTTGAATGTACACATGTTGTAGATGTGTTTACTCTAAGCTACTTTAAACAAGCCATCGCTTAGTTAACAGATTCATAGTAAAAAAAGTAATGGCATGCGTGTACAAAACGCTGTATCGCGAGATTATGTGCAGCAGATGGCGCTATGGTATTAGACTCAATATTTTATATTTATTTTATTGAATCTCTTGTGAATATATTGCAACGTCTGCATATACGCATGTTTTATATTTGAACAATACAGCGTATAATCTGTATTTGCAGTGACCAAATTATGGAAAGACAAGTATTCATAGAACCACAACAATTAGGCAAATTAATATTTGAAAACCCTCCCCGTAGAGGCTATCAATTCTAGAATCTAAAATTTATATTTTTTTAATTGCCATTCATCCTCGTGAAACCGCAATGCAACGCAAGAGGAAGGTACAGATATCAAACCATTCGGCTTTTACACTATTCTATTGTTGCGTATGATGGCAACATGTTCAGGAGCTAAATGCCAATGTTGAGATGTGATAGTTACGGGAGGGATTCAGGAAAGAGTTCCTCTAGTTTTGCTATCCCTCCTGCTCTGAGTGCAGACTGCAGTGGATTAATACATTGTCCATGGTTTGAGTTACATGGCCACATTCGCACTGTGGTGTGCCTTTGATTGTCCATTAATGAAGATGTGCACAGCAGCCTGTTGATGTGCTGTTGCGGTTGATGGTTACACCAGTGTCTTTGAGAAATCTCAAACCTTAGAAGGTGCGATGTTCAAGTTTGGAATGAGATCTTCCTGATCTGGGTGAGATTATTGGATGGTGACAGTACTGAAGTTGGGAGAGAGACATTGTTGAGGTCTTGGTTGATGGGTAGGTAGTTGTCACGTGTAAACTCCCTTTACAGTTTGCATGTCTCTGTGGATATTTGGTGGTCGAATGTTCGCCAGAACAGGGAGTCGGGAGATTGGTATCAGTGTTCCGGTAATGATGTGCATTGCGTTAATAAATTGTGCATCTCAAAGTTTTTTTGTACGAGCTCTCAGTCCAGGCAGGAGAACGATACTCTGAGTAGAGCAGTTTGCAGCACATCAGCTGAGATGCCCCAGGTCGTTCCTACAAGTTTTTTTTTATACCAAGGACATTATTGATTTGTTATTTTTTTACAGATCTATTTTATGTGGGGCTTGAAGATCAGGGTTCTATCCATGATAACCTATAGATATCTTGGGAGTGGTGTTACAGCAAACTGAGCTACCACAGAAGCACACATCAAGGTTGGAATTTGATGCACGATTGCTCGTGTGGAAAGCTCGTGTGGTGGTTTTAGAGGGATTTGGTTAGTTTCCAGCAATAGAAGTATGCCTTACACAAGACGCATTACAACTAGCTTTCTCAATCTTTATTGGCTAATGGTTTGGAGTGAGCAAAATATGTAAAATAAATTGTTACATGGACATACTTTCTCGCCAGCAATTGTATAATTCATGTTTCACATGGCTAAGAGTTATTTTTTGTGAACTTTAAACTTGTTAATAGTTTCATTGTTCAAATGTTTGGTCCCGATGGCTACTCTAACCCATAATGTCTTGATAGTCTAGGATGGGTTCGCCGGCATAGTGCTTAGATGGGTGACCACCATGCAGGTGTATGGTGGTCACTACCTCAATAACATCTCTCGTTATTGCTTGAAGTCACGCAAGCCCATTTGCACCCATGCGCTTTACCTTAAACAATGTGAATTCAACCCTGATTTAGCCTGGAGGACTGAATGGAGTTCAAAAGACCTCACAAACACCTTTTGACAGATCTAACGCAGAAAATCCTTGGGTTTAGGTCCACCCTAAATCGTATGTGCACTAACCAATGGCAGATGCGGATACTTGATGTACAAATGGAAATTTAAAAAAACTCTCCATTGTGCGACTGTGATCATCCAGAACAATGTACGATCCACAAATACGATAGAGATACACTCCGCTGCTCTTGACGCGGTTATCTGGCTCGACCACGTGAATGTGAAATTGTAGCCGTTGCTCTGCACCTCAATCAGCCATACGAAATAAAGACTGTAATAGGCATTGTGGGCAGTAGGGGTCACTATATAAAAATCCACTGTTCTGCACTGTTCCCACCGTCGCCAACTAACACTGACCAGCATGAAGTATGGTCAAAATACCCCTCATGGCTGGCCCGCAAGGAATGGGGAGGCCCTCGTCTTAACGTGGATTTTACATAATAGGCTGGACATGTACAACATTTGTTCAAATTGATTTTAAACAAATATACACAAACACTGGTTACAACGCAAACCGGTAACATTGAGACAACAATATTTCAACAAAATAGCAAATTGCAGTTATTTTCATTCTCGTTTTTTTAAAAAATACATCTTTAATTTATCGTGCTGTTTTAGAGGAGAAACCTTTTTTTTGTCTTACACTGCATTGGACAAAACAACATTGACTTGAACCAGCAAGGCATGTGAATTAATACTGTGAGCAAACTACGTACAGTCCTGCACTAGCTGTGACTTCAGATGAATGCTAAACCAACTGTAAAGCAATACTTAACAAGCTTAATTTTAGTCAAAAAAATAAGTTAAACCTATGCTCAAACATTGCTTGCGGCAGAAATATGTTCTTCCTTGATCCTATGGCAAATATCAAGGGGTGTAACGATTCTCTCCATTTACCCAGAAATTAAATGAATTACAATCTCATAATTTAATTTAAGGATCAATTTGTTTTTGACGAGTGCTATTAATGTAAATGCCTCGAGTGATTGCAGGGGTTCGCAATAACTAATTTAAGCATATACAAATCAAAATACTGTACAGTAAAACTGCTGTCTGCGGACCTGTTACCCACGACTCCGATTTTCTGCAGGATCTGTAAAGTCGCCGATAGCTCCTATAATTGGAACGCCTTCCAATTAACATTTTCATGGATGGAGTCATACCACAGATTTATCATATTGTTCATACATCGTTACAACCCTATTACGTACTGCATCGGCGAACGCCACCAACACTTGAGCCGTATTTGTTCCATTATTGCCACATGCATTTGTGCACTATCATATGACATTACACGTACCTTGCACTTAAACACCCGTAGCTAGAACATTTGCGTTAAATTTACGGTTAACTCCATGAATAAACAGCAGCTGCACACGCTGGGGGTTTATTCAGCCACATTTTCACGCCGGATGCAACTGCCAGAGTGGCGCGCTAAGCACAGCACTGGTTTTTCTTCTCGCTTTGCCTCCTCACTCCGGAAAACTTTTCTGGCAGGTGCAGCACCTTCTCCTTGTGCCTGTCCTCCTGTTCCGTAAGTAACCTGTAAGGAGAGCAAGGCACAGAATCATCGCGGTGCCCAATCAAACAAACAAATATTTAAAAGGCATGGACTGAGAACTATCTGAAGAAATGTATGAAATAAAGTGTTGAAAACTACCGTGTGTATCTTTGTACAACACATCGATATATTGTACATGAAGGAAAAATATAAAATGCTCTGCGATAGAGATTTTGTATTCGCAGATTTGAAGCTCCGACGCACACCTGTTACCTATGGCAAAATTTGATTAAGCTCTGAATCATTGGCGTCATGATCCCATTTATATAAGAATATTAATACTATTCTCGGTTCTTTCGGTAAAGTCACGTAGAAGGGAAACAATAAAATAATAAAAATATAAAACAATAAAATTCTCACGACGTTTCGACTGCAACACAAGCAATCATCATCAGATGTGTGAAAACCACAGCAAGAAAATTTGAAAAAAGTGGCGGTTTTTTTTAACGTTAGCACCACGGAGAGCGATTTGGCAGTTATTCATGGCGGTGCTAACGTTAAAAAAACCGCCACTTTTTTCAAATTTTCTTGCCGTGGTTTTCACACCTGATGATGAATGCTTGTGTTGCAGTCGAAACGTCGTGAGAATTTCATTGCTTTATATTTTTATTATTTTATTGTTTCCCTTCTACGTGACTTTACCGAAAGAACCAAGAATATGAATCCCTGCAGTCACGGAAGCTTTAAACCAAAATATTAATACTGATGAAAGAGTAATTTACAGTCCGGTGTCAAAACACTGCTGCAGGAAGGCTTCCAGGCACGGCGTCGCTCATGGAGGTTGTTTGAGCCTCATACTTCCAGCTGGTCAGTGTGGGTTGGTGAAGCAAGGGGAGGGAGCCAGGGCCAGTTCAAATATCATTGGTTGTAGCCATGGACATGAATTGAACTGAGACCGCCGTTCCCCGAAATGTCACCTATTATATAATTTTTATATTTAAGGCAGCGCCAAGTGACCAATGTGTTTCGATCGCAGAGTGTGTGGTAGAGTGTGCAAACCACTGTGCCACCACTCCACCCTAATGCACATGTACTATGTTTATCACAAAGGACAACCTCTGGGCCAGTGATATGTACTATAAAGGGTAATTGCTAAGGGCCAGACTAAGGCTGAATCTTTTCAATTGCAAGAACAAGCCAAGGCCAAAACTGTTCAATTAATCGGGACAGAGCCGCAATTTAGTCTTCCCATAATTGGCTTGTGGCTTAGGCAATCCAAGTAGTCATGACATTGGAACCTTTAAATAATGAAGGTAGGTTTTTAAAACTGGTATAGAAACGGGGGTTAATATTTATTATTTTACGTGACATTCTGCCCATTTCCCAATGTCAAGCAGTTAAATTTATGTCACTATTGTAATAGTAGGCTTCACAAAGCCTTGCAATGGCAATGATGATTGCTATTGGTTATTAAGTGATCACCATTGTCTCGTTAATGGGGCTATTTGATTATTCCACTGCAGTGTGTGTGTGTGAATATGGCTAATTTCAGGTTAACATATTTTAACAACGTAGGTAATATGAATCATGATTTTGTTTGGTTCATGTATAATTACTCAGGAAAGCCTCAAAGTGTCTGAGCTGCTTGGGAATTTACCCAACTTAGCCACAAAGAGATAACACTTGAATTCTCAAGGCTGACAACCGACTTACTGTACTTCCCTCTATGCATGCCACCTTGTAGCATGCAATTGTAGGACCATCTCAGCACATTATCGTCCCCACAGTACAAGCCATGTTCATGCCTGTTAGTTTGTTTCACCTGGCCATGTGCGCGATGGGTTCCTCTATGTTCAGTGCCAGTCTCGCGCTGCACTCGTAAAACACTGCTCCGTACTCCTGGAAGGTAAACGGATTCAACAAGAAACCACGACCGGCATTGAACAGGGAAATTGCAAACTCAGCCACTGCAGCATCCCATGAAAACATGCAACGTTGGGCCAACATTGGTAATGTGGTTTAATTGTTGGACCACCATTGGTCCAACGTTAATTCAACGGTTCACGTTCACTAAATACCATCTAAAGCGCTTCCCACGTTTTAAATATCACGTCAGAAGGGTGAACCACAGTGTTCTAGAACAGGCCTAGGAGGAGGGAAGACTAATTAGAACACTCCATAAAAGGAAATATATGTGGATTGGGCACATTTTTAGAAGTGAAAGTTTAATGAAGGGGCTTCTGGGAGAACGGATGATGTGAAATAGGCCAAGATGCAAAAAAGGCTGTTCTATGACTTATAGGAATGGGGTACGTATAGTGAAATTAATAAGAAAGCTCAAGATCAGAGTAGTGCATTTGAGCCCTGCCAATATTGAACACGAGTCTCCACCATCAGTAATCAGCATTTAAGTGTAAAATCATGCAGAGTATGAAAAAGTAAGCATGGACAAATTTAATTAATGTTAGTTAAAAGTCTCTCACTGTGGACAAATATATTCTTGCAATTCAATATGAGGGGTAAAAGTGACCATGCTCTGTTTAAAAAATGTGTTTTTACATGTATAATTACCATTTGCCCTCAACATTGTTTTTCCATCGAGAACATAAATAAATGCAGTGACAGCTTACATCTTCATGAGGGCAAGGTGACATTGGTGGTTGACATCGAGAGAAGGCTAAGATATATATAACTCTTTCTTGTAAGTCATTGGCTCGTTATAAATCATGCCCTCAATTATACGTACACAATAAATCGGATCCTTTTTTTGTCAATGTACTACTTATAAAAATAACAATGATAATTGATCGTGCACAACATTTATTTAAACAAATATACAGACGTTGAACCAAGTCAGGAGAGACTGGATGTGCACTCGGGTTTCAGTGAATGTTTGTGATTTGCACTCTGGTTGTGTAAGAAGTGATCGAGTTTTCGCTGTTTTGGCCGATTGAGCATTTACCTACCTCAGCGAGCCTCTTGCCCTCCGCGGTGCTTACGAGACGGCCCTCGTCCTCCACCGCGTCCGTTTTGTTGCCGAGCAAAAACACGACCACGTCCTCCTCCACCTTCTCCTGCAAGACACCAGCAGCACGGACTCAGCTCACCAGTAAACATGGAACGTTGTACCAACGTTGGCCCGATGGATTTGAACGCTAAAGTCGATGAAGCAGGGTTCATTTATTCCAACTGTTGCACACTCAAAATGAAGGACGTGGGCAGGTGCTCCAAATCGAGGGCAAACACATTTATTGTGGTCAGTCGGTAAAATGCAACAGCACGTGGTGTCACACAGCAATCCTCAACCGAGTCGCCGTTAACCACGTGACTGGTGTACAAGTCAGGTTACTCAACAACCCTGCCAGACACCTACAGGCCCTACTCAGTATCGCATGCTGGTGTACACACGTGCATTGATGTACTGCCCAGCACATAAGGGCCTTCACAAAAGCACACTTTATTGTTGCACCAAGAAATAATTAAAAGAGTAGTCCATTCCTGATGTGCCACACAAGGTTTTTTTTTATTAATAACTAGCTCTTGCCACGCGTTTTTATGGGATACACAACCAGCATGGAGGGTGGGTGGGGAGGTGGTGTAACGTCAGCATGATGCACAAACCCGCTCAACCCTGTGGGATGCAGTTGACAGCATCATGCAGGTGTGAGCAGTGATGTCACCCATGCATCAGCCAGCCAGGTAGCCAGGCAACCAGCCAGCCAGCAAAACTTTTTTTTTTAAATATAACACTATAGTCTTTGTATACTCAACGACAACCTGTGGAATTTTAGTCACATTGTAAGTCTGTGGCTTTCATTTAGTCATTCAGTCTTTCTCTTCATGTCGTCGACGAAAACAGGCAAAGAAGGGTCCACTTCATGAATTTTTTGTGTGAGGGATGCACAATTCCCCACCGCTCCCACAGTATTATCAAGTAAACCACCCAGTGAATTCGGAAATTTTGTTGATGTACCTGCACCGTATAGCCAATTAACACTTTCTTAGCCTGGATCTTCATTCAGTATTACGCAAGTGCTGGAATTAAAAATGTGTTGTACGCATTTTTAATGCAACATTTTAACAGTTGAAATATAGAAAATGGCCAATTAAAAAGGAAAACATCTTCTATATTTGACTTGTAAAATTCGACACGAGCTAAAAATAATTGTACATGTTAACTCATATTTAATTTTTACGCAATGAGGGTGAATTATATGTCACTTGAAGGGATCTCAGAGGTAGCTCTGTGATGTCCACTTCTGCAGACCATTCTCTAACACATGGCCTGCACTGCTCTTTGAGAAATCTGAGTGGATAATTAATCTTGTGACGTGACACCGATAGCTGAAATCGGAACACAATTGTGGGGAAATTACAAAATTTACAACTAAAACGTACCTGAAGGCTGATGATCCAGTTCCGTACGGATTTAAAGGTAAACTCGTTGGTTATGTCGTACATCACCAGCACACCATCTGCTTTGCGGAAGTACTGCTTGGTGATACTGCGGAACCTGCAAAGAGCAACAACAAATAATGGGTAGATGAAGATGATGAAAGTTAAGATCAATGTTTGAGGATAGAAGTCATCGCAAGTTGCAGCAGAGGCTGAATGATTCGGTACTCCATTGCACTACTGCAGTTCTGAAAGTATTGATCAACGTTATGGACAGACTTACTCTTTTTTGTAAATTAAAGCACTTATTCCACCAACATTATAAACTGGTAGAACTTCAAATCAATTATGACTTTTATATTATTTAAGCTTCTGATTTCCCTTTCTGCCATATCTGAGTACTGCGCTATTACAATCGTGGGATTCAATGTTATGATTAGCACGGTTGGCTACGCACGGTGCGAAAGAAGTTCAACATACATACAAATCCATCGAGGAAATAAAGTACAGTAGTACTCTTTATTATCCACGAGCAGATTATCTGGCTTCCCTATTAACCATGCTTCCGGGGTTGACATATGTTTTTATGTGAACTCGTTAAATTATTCGCTGCTCCTCACTCATCGAGGGTCAGCGACTAAGTCCACGTGAATGCAGAGATGTCAGCAAATTAACATATTACTTTAATACATAATAACAAAAAACCAAGAGCATTCTATGTCTTCTAAACCATTTATGTATTCTAAACCATTTACTAATGGTATATAGTCAGCGCGTATAGATTTTCCCCACTTGGTATTCAATTAATCGTTGCAACGCAGGGTCGGAAGTTGATTTAAGAATCTGTAGGGGATGTAGTCACGTCCTCCACTGACTGGAGGGTCACAAAAACCCATAAAATTACAGCATACACACTTTACAAAGAACTGATTACGACGTACCCATTTCGATGCGTGCATGGTAAACTTAATCGATGCATCGTTACACTCCTAATATGCTATACTTTAATTTGTACACTTCATGTGAAACCATGTGCAAATGTTAAATTATGGCAATGTAAAAAATGTGACCATGCTTAATTTAAAGCTTTCGTGACTGCAGGAATTCATACTCTTGGGTCTTTCCGTCAAGTCACGTGATCTATTATTATTATTTTATTTACGTGACTTGACCGAAAAACCCAAGAGTATGTGACCATACTGTCAGGTTAATTTGATAATATTGCTAAAAGGTACAGCCCTGCAAATTTGCGAGCTCTCTTGCCACCAGCGGCAGAAGGGCCTCCATTAAACAGAGCTATTGAGGTTATCGTGGTCTACTCTTCAACACTGGTTAGACATCTTGAAAGAAGTCGCAGCATCCATACTCTACCTCACCACACGCACGTGCTGCCGATTGACTCTGGCGAATTCATTTAAACAACTGCATGGACAGAGGTGCGAGGATTAGTTTTAATTTCCGAGCTGGGAGATCGAATCAGCGACTTCTGGAATGCAAATCTTGTGTGCTAACAATTACACTCTGTCAGATTCCATCACCTTTTCATAGCCTGTGTAAATATTTAAAAGTGTGAGGCTATTAAAGTAATGATTGTTCGATCAGACTGTTGGGGTAATATAGCTTTTGGCAATTTTAATACTCTTTGCAATCCTACGTCTCATATCCGACTCACGAGGGACTGGTATATAGCCGGGTACGTGTCAAAAGGTTCAATAATTGAACATCCATAGAAAATTAGTGAGAGCATGCGTAAATAGGTTACTGGACTAAAATAAAGCACAAATCGTTTCAATAAAGTACACAAAATCCATGATGTGATTCCTGACATGCAATACCCTGGTGTCTACAAACTGAGCTGTGGTTGCAGACGCAGTTATATTGGGGAAACGAAACGACATGTACGGATCGTGTCTGTGAACACAAGGCGGATCTGAAACACGGTAAGACCAATACCTCTGCCATTGCTGATCATTGTTTTAATGCTGTGGGCTCACACGAAATTGATTTTTCCAAGACGGAGGTACTCTGCAAACCTACCGGCTCCCTTCAGAGATTTGTTCCAGATATATAAACACAGACACAACTTTAACGGAGAGGATGGGTACAAACTGAGCAATCATTGGAAGGACGTTATTAACCAGGTAAAGTCTTAACTGACTGTGATGTTTCCATCCAACCTGCATACGTCAGCTGTTATTTCGACTCTGTCTCTCTCTCTCTATGCCTCTCTCTTAGATCTCTCATGCTCACAAATGCTCTCCTATATTTTTATTTATTTAAATCTTTCGTGACTGCAGGGATTCATATTCTTGGTTCTTTCGGTAAAGTCACGTAGAAGCGAAGCAATAAAATAAAAATATAAAACAATATTGTTTTATTTTATTGTTTCCCTTCTACGTGACTTTACCGAAAGAACCAAGAATATGCTCTCCTATATGTTAGACGTAAGTTAAAGTACGCAAGATTACGATTACATTGCTGCGTGTGAAGGGGCCCCATGTGTGAAGATCTGTAGAAATTGACAGTTGCGCTATACAAAAAATACCGTACCGGGCGGTTAAATTGGTCATGGCGGATATGTGACAGTCGGATATGCGACGTTGTACTGAGCTGGCAGAGCCATTGACTTACCTCTCCTGCCCTGCTGTGTCCCAAAGCTGCAAAGCGATACGAAAATCTCCCACGGTGAGGGTCTTGATGTGGTAATCCACTCCTGCCGATCACGCGGAATGTTGTCATGAGAAATTCAACCAAAGTCGGTTAGTGGCCAACGTGACATCCTCTAAACAAGCACTATCGTCTAAAACATGGCCCTGTGACAATGTAAAACAAGGAGAACATACATTTTCCCAAATATTTACAATTGAGTGAAATTTTGCTGTGAAATTAAGTTGACAAAGCATGTTTATTACAGTTTAAATGAAGATCAAAAGGGTAATTAGTCATTTGTTTGCTCATAATATGCGTAGCACATTGTATGCATACACATACTGACATGTTCATTTTTATTCCAATTGATTTATTTTTAAACGACAGTTTCAAACACTTCACATCTATGGCAACAAAAACATAAATCAATATGTATTGATGTTCACACAGAATTTTACATGGTCCTGTCAGCATTTCTTTTCGAGAAAATGACCGTGACATGCTACTGAAATATCTCCAACTGAAAGCCCTTCTCTTTTCCAAAATATCTCAGCTTGAGAAATGCGCAAGCCCTTGCCAATCCACTGCTGGATGCAGACATCCCCAAGCATTCCTCGTCATAGGGGCTGTTTGATTATACGTCGCAACGGTGTGGTTGGTAAGGGAAAGTTGGGCCACTACCAGTCCAAATATCACTCACCACAGATATTAGCCATGGCTGGCAATGAAACCCGGGTCGCTCGGTTCACTGCATGTGCACTAACCACTGCGTCACAACCTCACCTTCGGGTCAAAGATAGCAATGAATCAGGCTGCTGAACTTTACGTTTCAGCAATTTTATATTTACATGTGATAACGTTCGCAAGTGTTTCTTGGAGTTATCGTATTTCTTTTACTATTTCTTTACCATCCAGGAGGATGATTTCGAAAACCATTTAAAGTAACGCTCCAATTTCTCTAAAAGCCCCTTAATGTCTGCCCTGCATGTGGCATGTGTAGGGCAATGGATTTAGCAGAGTAGCAGCGAGCTCAAAATCCGTACACAGGCTTCTGTGCTGACATGAAAAGGACTCATGACCCGTTGTGAAGTTTTTGAAGTAAAGCTTTCCATAGGAGGCCGGTAAGCAGCAAATATACGGTGATACCATAATTACATGAATAAACACTTTTGTTTTCAAACAGTGAAGGTCTACTATTTAAATCTTGACTTAAAGCTTTCGCGACTGCATGAATTCATATTCTTTGGGTCTTTCGGTAAAGCCACGTAGAGAGAAAAAATAACAAAAATCTAAATCACGACGTTTCGATCACAACACAAGCAATCGTCTTCAGGTGAACGATTGCTTGTGTTGCGATGAAAACGTCGTGATTTAGATTTTTGTCATTTTTTCTATCTACGTGGCTTTAACGAAAGACCCAAAGAATATGGTCTACCATTTAGTTGCGTCAGTTGGCAATCGATAGCATTCAGTAAGTGGCGTGACATCAGAATGTTTAATGATGCAGATGGCCTTACCAATAGTGGCACAGATGCCGGGAAGAAAGCGCTTCTGGCAGAGCTGCTGGATGAAGCAACTCTTCCCTACGCCAGACTCACCAACAAGAACAACCTTGAAAATCCGGTCAGGTGGCATCTGTCCACACCCTAATTCCTGTGAAACCGAAGGATTGCACCTTTTGTTTTCTATTTGACGAGCTGGTAATTGTACGTTTCAATGAATCCTTGTGCATGTGTTTTCGTTACTCTTTTTATGTATGTAGTAACATAGAATTTGTCACTTAGCAGCATAGCGCTGGCTGCTGGCAGGGAAGGGGATCTGCAGCTTGTAGCAGCCCTGACTGACAGCAGGCCACGTGATAGACCCGAGAGGGATCTGGGGAAAGTTACGGAAGGGGCACATCGGGAACCCGCTCGTAGGTTCCAGAAGGGGGCATGGCCGGGGCGGAGCCAGGCCACGCTGAGAGTATAAGAGGGGTCCCAGGAGGGGACCTCGGGGCTGTCGTTTGGAGTGGGATCCCCGTCATTGCTGTTGAAGATCGTCACCATCATCGCTGTCGTCTCTCTGCCTTCATCACTGTCGTCATCTGATATTGCGCCGCTAGACAGTAGTTGGCTGTCTTAGTTCAGCGCCATCAGTGTCAGATGGCTAGCATTGTGTGTAGGCTAGAAACCAGCGTAGAGTTGCGTATAAGCGAGAAACAGAGGAGAGTGTGTAACAGTGTAGGGTGTGTATTGAACAAAGTGTGCTCGGTGTTATTTAAAGAACTGCCTCTAAGAAGTTATGTCTCCAAGCCAGTCACTACACATATACTGTACAGTATATGGGCGTCATCTGGTCGAGCACCAATTGGGTCGAGGCTCAAAAGAAAGCCGTCCGTCCCTTGGTGTGGACCATTCAGTTTCAAGGACAGTGCATATATTATCAAAGTATGATTTTTGTTTGCATTTTGACTGCAGGTATTGTGGTTAATGCAGACATTAATCATCGTAAAAAGGTTTCAGTTTTGTTGCCAGAAAAAAGGAGAAACACCCTATTATTATATTTTGGTACTGGCAAAGGAGGTCTAATGATGTAGATGCTCACCCCAAGCCCTCATTACTTTGATAGTGCATTGTCTTTGAGCTGTACGCCTTTTGGCGTCATCTGGTTGAGCACCAATTGGGTCAAGGCTCAAAAGAAAGCCGTCCCTTGGTGTGGACCAATCAGTTTCAAGGACAATGCATATATTATCATAGTATGTTTTTTTTGCATTTTGACTGCAGGTATTGTGGTTAATGCAGACATGAATCCTTGTAAAAAGGTTTCAGTTTTGTTGCCAGAAAAAAAGAGGGAAAACCCTATTATTATGGCGATAACTACACGAACATGGGTTGTCTTGAGTGTTTAACTGCAAAAAAAAACGGAGGCATTTAGTGTTTCCCAGGACAGCTACCGGAAAGAGTGTTGATGCGAGAAAAACCAGGACAAGTGAGCTTTTGTGGCACCTGGTATTCTTTGCCTGCTGGACATCCACGCGGCGTCCCTGGCAGGCCTCCAGTGGACTCCGCTTCATCTTCCTCCTCCTCCTCCTCATCGTCCTCTACCTGGCCCTGAGACTCAATGGCAGCTGTAGATGAATCCTCACTGCACTGGTTAACGTTCTGCGCCGCTGTTTGTCGGTAAAGAATGCTTCTGTGGAGATGGACAAAGTGCGGTGATGGCACAGGAGAAATGTCATTGGCATGAGTTGGCTGCATCAATTCGTTAGCAGGCAGGGTTGTTATGGTTGACAGTCTGGCCAAACTTGGGATATCGCAATGAAATGTGTTTACATGATTAAAGAATGTGGTGAATAACAAATGACGTAATAAATGGTTGCTGTGCCTCCCTTAGTTGGTGCTTCCACTGTTTCCCAAAGTCTATAACTTGACATTTTTCAAGAATCAAAATGACACTATATTCTTGGGTCTTTCGGTAAAGTCATGTAGATAGGTTCAAAGAAACTAAGAAAAATAACAAAAAACTACAACGTTTCGATCGCAACACAGGCGGTTATCTTCAGGAAAAGGGGGGTGAGCTTCCAAGGCAAACTGTTTATAAGGGTTTGAAATGGGCGTAGCCCAAATGTCAGCAGCCAATGATAATGTAAGTGGTGGGCAGCCAACCCGAAGGGCTGGCAGGTGAAAATTAGCATGTTAAAGAGAGATTCGCATATTCTTGGTTCTTTCGGTAAAGTCACGTAGAAGGGAAACAATAAAATAATAAAAATTATTGTTTCCCTTCTACGTGACTTTACCGAAAGAACCGAGAATATGAATCCCTGCAGTCACGGTAGCTTTAAATCAGAGATTAGCATGTTAATGGGAGATCGCAGAGCCGCAGCGAAGGGGTCGGCGCGCAAAATGACTGTGAAAGCGCAAAGTTTTTCTTTGAACCTATCTACGTGACTTTACTGAAAGACCAAATAATATGAATTCCTGCAGTTACGAAAGCTTTAAGTCAAAATTACACTATTGTCTAGCTGTGTTCGGGAATCATATTTGGGTCACAGGCTCATTATGAAGTAAGCTAACCACAGTACCACCGCTCTACCCCACAATTTTACAGAACGTGAATGAAATGTGATTGTGTGATAGTGTATGCACAACGCGTTTAACGTAGCTCGTGCGTTCCAGTCGAGGAGGCAGATGTGTTTAAGAGACTACGGGGGACTACTAAATGTAAAGCTTATTTCCCTGATTATTCAACATCAGGATTTATAAGGACAGACTCAAAGGCCCAAAATACCAAAAGACCAGCAGCAAACAGCACTATTTAGGGTGCAATAGCTTAATTAAACAAGTTTCTTGAATGTACCAAGATTATACAGATCTGCTTAGGGGCCGTCCATAAATGACGGCACGCGATTTAGGACGATTTCCCCCCCCCCCCCCCCCTCGTCACACGGCGTCACAAAAAGTCAGACCCCCTCCCTCAAATATGACGTCACGAAGCTCTGCCCCCCCCCCCCCCCAAAACCATATTTACATTTTGAAAATAAAACATGCAAACTATTGTCATTGTCGTGCGTATTTAATGTGGCGCTGCACACTGATGTTGAAGGAGAAAACATTTATTAAAAAAGTCTATTTAATTAAGTAGAACGTGTTGTCTGTATTTATTTAAAGTTGCGCATTTTGATGTGACGTCACATTTCTCAAACCCCCCCCCCCCCCCTCGTCACATCGTCACAAATGTCTGCCCCCCCCCCTAGGTGTGTGACGTCATTTATGGACGGCCCCTAACAGCTTGGGAAAAGAGACAAAGGCGGCCAGGCGTGGTGTTGGCCACCTGCCGCCTCGTGTGCCGTGCTGGCTTTCAAAGGTGCTTGCTAACAGCACTTGCCCCAACAGTCTGGTACAGGCTATAGGGGGGATCTTTGTCTTTATATATGTATAATTGTATGTGAAGTGCATGTGATTGGGGTGTGTTTTGGGTTGGTTTTTGTGTATGTGTAATGTGGTTAACGCTAGCCTGCGCCTTAAGTTTAATTCCTGGCCATGGCTAGCACTGGCTCAGGGTTACCATCATCGGTGGTGACGGGAACACCGAGCCTCTCCTAGGGAAACTCAGCCTTAAATTGGTACCTGGTGCAGTGTACACATGTAGACCAAAATAGTTATGTCAATATGCAGTACATCATACATCCCAGCACTGTGATAGTTATAAACGATATAATGTGGCAGTGCGTCCAAATGCATTATAAATAGTCGTGACAAGACAGGCACGGGGCATGATTCGTGGGCCATAGATTTGAAATCTTTAATTGCCAAAGGTGAAAGGAGCTAGCTCCATGAGTGAACGTGAACATGATGGCTTTATGAAGCTCAAAGAGTACATGTGATACAGCCCCTCTTATGTTCAAACAATGCTGTCTTTAAAAAGCAGCACTGAACAGCTGATATCCATAAAAGGATTGTGATGAAGACATGATAGAACATCATGTTGTTCACTTTTGCATTGTGTGGCTAGGTAATGGCTTCATGTCATGATGCCCAAGGCACTGTGCATTATTTACTGCATTTCTCGAAAAGTTAAGTAATAGATGGATTGGGATTATTTCAATACATATTTGAATTGTGCATTATTAAATTTGATGTTTTGGATTTACTTACGTGAAAAGTATTTTTTTTCAGAATTTAGAACATCAGCGCCGAGGGTACAAAAAGTGGGCAGGCATGGCGCTAATTTCACCATGCCCTCGTGCGCCGCGCGTGCAGCACTTTCCCCAGAAAGCTCTGTGGTTATCTGCATGTGTGTGTACTCACCTCTGAGTGCAGCCGAGCACACATGTTACACACACTCTCAGCCAGTAAGCCTGTAAAACCTGGCTCTGTCCCACGACCTTCAGTCATCAAGCCTACGGCACTTCACGTCGCATCAGAGAGCACCTACATAATGGCTTTATGTGCAGATGTTCACCGCACTGTACATTAATTACTGTATTGCTTGGAGAAGGTGAAGTAATACATGGATTGACATTTGTTCCAACATATTTGAACTGTGCATTATTAAAACTGACGTTTGGGATTTGTGCGCCTTGGCGACATCGCGTACCTTTGTATAGAAAGCCGTGTGTTATTTGTTGTTGCGCAGTGACGGGTTGTTGTTAAGTTGCTCACCTTCGTGGAGACTTGCTGTCTTGCAGGTAGTCTCCAATGATGGAGCCCTCGCGCACAAGAGGAGCGTGGTTTCCCATGGGTGCGGCAGGTTTGTGTCCTGATTGACACGTGCAACGGCCCTGCTTTGGGAGAAAAAACATCATGGTCCAGCACTTTCTTATCACATAATTTACTCTTTTTGATTTAAAGCTTTCGTGACTGCAGTGATTCATATTCTTGGTTCTTTCGGTAAAGTCACGTCGAAGGGAAACAATAAAATAATAATATATATAGAAAACATAAAAATTATCACGACGTTTCGACTGCAACACAAGCAGTCATCATCAGGTGTGAAAACCAACGGCAAGAACATTTGAAAGAAGTGGCGGTTTGTATTTATTTTATTTTTTTAAACGTTAGCACCACGGATAGCGATTTGACAATTTGTTTAGATGGACGAGTCCATCCGAACATAGATGGACGAGTCCATCTATGTTCGGAAAAGAGGAAGGGCGGAGACGAAAAATTAATGTATGCAGTCTGTAAGCCACTGTAAGCGTGAACAATCAATTAAGACCCGAAATGGTTTATCAAATCCTTCCAATGATTGCTAAGCCAGAATCCATATTCTCGGTTGAAATTGTCTCTGTCTTTGTATATGTAGATAGCCTCATGAATGAATCTCTCATGGTAGCCAGATGGCTTGCAATGAACCTTTGTCTTGGAGAAGTCAATGTCATGTGAGCCTACTGAATTATAACAGTGATCTGCCACGGCCGAGGTGTTGGTCCTACCATGTTTAAGATCTGCTTTGTGTTCACGAATGCGGTCCGAGACATGTCGTTTGGTTTCTCCAATGAAATTACTACCACAGAGGCAACTTAGTTTGTAGACACCAGGGTACTGTATGTCCGGAATCACATCTTTTACAGACGGAACCAGATCACAGATTTTATGTAATGTGTTGAAATGGACCTGGATCTCGTGTTTATTCAAGATTTTGGAGATATTTTTTGTGATCCCCGCAATGTAGGGTAAAGTGATGGTTTTGAAAGGCTCCTCAAGAGGGTCCTTCTTCATGGTTTGAGTGATAGCTTTGCGAATGGTATAGTCGGAGTAACCATAGCCTTAAGAGCTTGGTGTATGTGCTTGAGTTCACTGCCTATGTGTTCCTGGTCGGATATGCATTGGGCTCTATGGTGCAGAGTCTTGATGAGAGAATACTTCTGTGATTGATGGTGGTGGGAATCCGGTTTCAGATAAGCATCAGTATGGGTAGCTTTCCTGATGGCTGGGTGTATGGAATTGATGTGGTCAAAGAATTGGTCTAGAGCAGGCCGGCCATATGGCCAGATTTACCATGGAAGTCGAAAAAGATGGCAAGCTACCTTTTTTGGATGTCCTAATAAAAAAGAGACGTGATGGTTCAATGAGCCACTCTCTCTACAGGAACGCTACCCATACGGATGCTTATCTGAAACCGGATTCCCACCACCATCCATCACAGAAGAATTCTCTCATCAAGACTCTGCACCATAGAGCCCAATGCATATCCGACCAGGAACACATAGGCAGTGAACTCAAGCACGTACACCAAGCTCTTAAGGCTAATGGTTACTCCGACTATATAATCCGCAAAGCTATCACTCAAACCATGAAGAAGGACCCTCTTGAGGTGACTTTCAAAACCATCACTTTACCCTACATTGCGGGGATCACAAAAAATATCTCCAAAATCTTGAATAAACACAAGATTCAGGTCCATTTCAACACATTACATAAAATCCGTGATCTGGTTCCGTCTGCAAAAGATGTGATTCCGGACATACAGTACCCTGGTGTCTACAAACTAAGTTGCCTCTGTGGTAGTAGTTTCATTGGAGAAACCAAACGACATGTCTCGGACCGCATTCGTGAACACAAAGCAGACCTTAAACACGGTAGGACCAACACCTCGGCCGTGGCAGATCACTGTTATAATTCAGTAGGCTCACATGACATTGACTTCTCCAAGACAGAGGTTCTTTGCAAGCCATCTGGCTACCATGAGAGATTCGTTCATGAGGCTATCCACATATACAAAGACAGAGACAATTTCAACCGAGAATATGGATTCTGGCTTAGCAATCATTGTAAGGATTTGATAAACCATTTCGGGTCTTAATTGATTGTTCACGCTTACGGTGGCTTTCAGACAGCATACCTTAATTTTTCGTCTCCCCCCTCCTCTTTTCCGAACATAGATGGACTCGTCCATCTAAATAAGCTGTCAAATCGCTATCCGTGGTGCTAACGTTTAAAAATAAATAAATACAAACCACCACTTCTTTCAAATGTTCTTGCCGTTGGTTTTCACACCTGATGATGACTGCTTGTGTTCCAGTCGAAACGTCGTGAGAATGTTATTGTTTTATATATTTTATTATTATTATTTTTATTTCCCTTCAACGTGACTTTACCGAAAGAACCAAGAATATAATTAACTCTATTCAGATAAATCTAACCCATTCACTGCATGCCACTTAGCCAACCCAATCGGCCCAAGCAAACCTTTCTACTTCCATCTATTTATCCAACGTACGCATTACCTGACCCATCCAAAGCATGGGATCAGTGTCTTTCCACAGGTTAATTTGAAAAATATTTTTTTTCAATGAAAGCTGTTTCCTTACAGTTATATCGACCACTTTTTGGGATTGGGATTTAAATGTGTGTATTGTGTGATACAATAGTAGACAATGGTTTTTTCTTACCTTGCAATTTTCAAAAGAATCCTTTTCATCTCTCAGATATCTATTCATGTCTCTGTTAAATAAAAAATAGTCACAGAGTAAAGTCTTGACAATAGATTGACAACGATGTTGAAAAGCACAAGCCGTTGACTCAAATGATGTCCTTCACATTTAACATTTGTACACACAACAAATAACCACTGATTTTGCACAATAAACGTGATGCTCGTGGAAGATAGCGGCTGGTGCCAAAAATAACATGGGGTATGAGCCTATGGAAGGGTAGTATTGATTTGTTGTTTTAGTTTTGTTGAGGTGAAGAGAGGGGAGTGATCAATTGAATGTGTTTTTTTTTACAGTCACGTGTTAACTATCGAACGCATCCCTTCCTTGGCACAAATGAATAATTAAAATACTATACGCACGTAAAGTCGTACAGTTCAGTGAGGCCGATTTGAAGACTTGCATTTTGAAGCATAGGTTTACATTTGTATTTTAAGCAAGCCAATAAAAGGAGCTTGTTTTTAGCGAATGGTGCCTTGCCTAACACAAAATAACAAAAACACGATTGCTGCTATATTCTTGGTTCTTTCGGTAAAGTCAAGTAGAAGTGAAACAATAAAATAATAAAAATATAAAACAATAAAATTATCACGACGTTTCGACTGCAACACAAGCAATCATCATCAATTTGAAAAAAAATATATTTTGGGGTTTTCACACCTGATGATGATTGCTTGTGTTGCAATCGAAACGTCGTGAGAATTTTATTGTTTTATATTTTTATTATTTTATTGGTTCCCTTCTACGTGACTTTACCGAAATAACCAAGAATATGAATCCCTGCAGTCACGAAAGCTATAAATCAAAATTTAATGATTGCTGCTATCTACGATGTCAGTTATACTGAATGCTTGCTATTTGACTAGCGTACCATTTCAGCAACATATACTCTACAGCACCCAGCACATGAAAGCAATGCAGTATTTAATCTTGATTTGACACGTATATAACATCTTGTTGTAACAGATCTCTCGCTGTGTTCTTCCTGGTTCAGCAGTTTCACTGCTGGATTATTTTTTACGCCTGAGGACGACCGCTTGTGTTGCGATCGAAACGTCGTGATTTTTATTTTATTTTTCTACCTACGTGACTTCACCGAAAGAACCAAAGAGTAATGCAGTATTTCTTCATCTGAAAGTCTACAATAATAGCCATACCTATTTAATTGTAACGTATATGCATATTCTTTGACGTAATGGTTTTATTTATTGCATGTAGGGATTTTCAAGCGGCAAAGGTAAAAGGTGCAGCCCTGCAATTGCTTGCTCAAACCACTGCTGGTGGATGGGCCTTGACGAGAGCGAGCTCTCCACAGCCCCTCTAGAAGGTATGTTAGTCTACTCCAGACTGGCCAGAAGTCTTGGAAGATGTAGGAGTACCCGCAGCTTACGGCACCACCTCCCAATTAGATACATTTTATATATATTTCATTTACTGTAGGTAACCGTTGTGTATCCATTCATACTCCTATGTGCATAGAGAGAGACGGGAAGGTTTAAGAAGTGTGGACATCGTTTTAACTGCTTCGCTAGGGTATCGAACCGGCAACCTCTGGATTGCAAAGTTCACTGTCCTAGCCGTCACACCAGGGCAGCATCCCATTTCACACAGCAATGTGTGCTTAATTCTGGAGGCTTAGTTGGCATCAGCTTGTATAATAGACGACGTTTTGGCATCCGCTGTGTCACTCGCACGTCAGCAATCATTCATTCGCGTGCGTTGTTTGCGTAATAAATAATCCAGCGAGTGATGTGCTGTCATGGAAACGTGGTGGGCAGAGTAAAAAATATTACGCACTTAATTACATTTTAATCAATATGCCATTTAGCTAGCACTTCAAAGAAAAAGATAAATGTAACAGGAAGACTAAGGACGGCAGTGCTGTTAAAAATAATGTGGAACACAGGAATACATTAGCAGTGAATTGCGTGTGCCCGTGTGAATTAATGTAAAGGTTTTGGAGCTGAGCTTTGCTGCTGGCTTCTGTGTGCAACTGGAGTGGTTTTCCACTAAGTCCCGGTGTGCAGTATAGATGATGAAGAGGTCCAGCACAATACTGGACCTCTGTTAATATCAGTAGAGTCAATGGGAATGACATAAATCCTTCCAATGTGTGCTGTGAACAAAAAGGCTGCGCGTTAGGAAGAAGGGAGTTTGCATGATCTCCCCTCCTATTTTTACCTTGCTAATTACAAATAACATCAGTTATTTCTGTATTAGGAGGAGCGGTGGTGCAGTGGTTAGCACATAGCGCAATTAACATTCCAGGAGCTTCTGCGGTTGATGAAGAATTCATAATAATCATGCCGAACATCATGTGGTACAACTACTGGCAAGATGTTTTCTACCTCACCGAGTATGGAGGAGATCGTGGGTTCGATCCCAACTCTGACGCTGCCTGTATATTTGGAGTTTGCTTGTTCTCCCCGTGGTTGCATGGATTTTGCGAGGGGTCCTCATGTTTTTTTCCCCCTCCACATTTAGAAACATGCGTTGAGTATTTGGCTGCTATAAATTTCCACGTGATAAGCCACTTCCTTGAGCTGTCATTTGTGATAGCCAGGTCGCTTCTGAAAAAGAGCTATATATAGCTCACTGGGCCTCAACTGATGAGCAATATTTTAACTGGTTCTGGGCCCCCCCCCCCACCCACATTCACAAAACCACAAACCGACCGGGCATGGGGAGGCATCCATGCTTCAGGCAACTGACAAAGAGTTCGAAGTTGTGATCGTCATTCTTTAATGCTAACGACATAAAAAAATAAGTGAGATCTCTAAAACCTATAGGTTTTTGATGAAAAATAAACTTTTCTCAAGGAATACTGGTGCTCCAAGTACGTAAGAGTTGGAGCTAAATAAATGATTAATCAGCTCCATGGCGGATTCATTACGAAAGCGCATAGACAATTGTAAAAAATACGGTCTGAACATCGTAATTAGAAATGATCCTGAATCAGTAGTTCAACAAATTATAACTGCATCATTAGACCTCCTTTGCCAGTACCAAAATGTAATAATAGGGTTTTTCCCCTTTTTTCTGGAAACAAAACTAAAACCTTTTTACAAGGATTCATGTCTGCATTAACCAAAAAGCCGTCCCTTGGTGGGGACCAATCAGTTTCAAGGACAATGCATATATTATCATAGTATGTTTTTTACTTGCATTTTGACTGCAGGTATTGTGGTTAATGCAGACAAGATTCATTGTAAAAAGGTTTTAGTTTTGTTGCCAGAAAAAAGGGGAAAACCCCTATTATTATATTTTGGTACTGGCAAAGGAGGTCTAATGATGTAGATGCTCACCCCGAGCCCTCGTTACTTTGATTCTGAATTGTCTTTGAGCTGTACGCCTTTTGGCGTCATGTGGTCGAGCACCAATTGGGTCGAGGCTCAAAAGAAAGCCGTCCCTTGGTGTGGACAAATCAGTTTCAAGGACAATGCATATATTATCATAGCATGTTTTATTGTCTGCATTTTGACTGCAAGTATTGTGGTTAATGCAGACATGAATTCTTGTAAAAAGGTTTCAGTTTTGTTGCCAGAAAAAAGGGGAAAAACTATATTATTAAATTATAACTGCATTCACCGAGTGTCATTGCAACTTCATAATAGAAGTGCTTTTTACGTATGAAAGCCGGATCACCCGACAATGACATTTTCATAATTTATAAAGAACAGCAAGCGATAGTGAAGTGTCAGCTCAAGCATTGATTTTACATTCTCTTTGCAAACCCAGAATAGTACATTATGTATGCACATGCGCATAATGTACGTTGACTCATTAATCCCCCCACCACCGCTTTGCGCAAGAGCGCATAAGTGTGGTCACCACATCTACGCCTCTATTAAAGGAACAAAACAGGTTGATGTCTCCACAAATCTGGCCGTCGCCTGATGAAGCTGGTTGTAATTATTGGCAAAACGTTGTACTCAGTTTGTAAATGTTGTGGCTTGGCTCTCCATCACACCGGTGTGCTGTACTAGTGACAAATTGGCATGTTCTGTTAACGTGACAACCCCTACTAGTGGCTGTGTCGGGTGGTGGCGGGTTTTAACGAAACATTTATATATTTACATGATCTAACCCAAAAAAACCCTCTATTATGGACTATGGCTTTAATTACCAAATTGACCACGTATTTTTTGCCATTACAATGAGTATGTACATAGATCCATATACAAGTCTATGGTGCATCCCTCAAAATGTGAGCTCACAGCGCCTAAAGCCCCTGCGTTAAATCTGGGCCTGTCCACATGAGCCAACATCACCGCAGGGTAGATCCTTGAGAGGACTCTCCACAGGCCTTACCGGAGCATGTCAAGCTGCTTGAGGAGAATGGACGTCTCGCTCTGCACTGTCACGGCAGTGGACGAGCTCGCCTCCCTGCGGAGACACCAGCAATCACTTTGACAGCAGCTTGAAAGATGACATTTCAGAGAGACCAAAGGAGAATATGAATGGTGTTCTGCAGTTGAACGTTTCCTGTTTACTCTGGTGTCGATTATTTGGTCAAAGTTGAGAAGTGACGTGAAAAAGCAAGCATTAAACTTTTTATTCACCAGGTAAGGCCCACTAAGCTATATAAACATTTTTCAAAAGCGACCGGCCTATCACAAATTATAGCTCAATGAAGTGGCTTATCACGTGGACATTTATAGCAGTCAAATTACTCTCAACGCATGTTGATTCTAAATGTGGAGGGAAGACCCCATGGACCCGAAGAAAAATCCACGTGACCACAAGAAGAATATGCAAACTCCAAATATACAGGCATCAGGTTCGGGATCGAAACCACGACCTCCTGAAAACCAGGCAAGGTAGTTCATCTTTATTCGAAGCTTTCGTAACTGCAGGGATCCATACTCTTTGGTTCTTTCGGTAAAGTCACGTAGGAAGAAAATATTTCATTTTATTTTATACCTACAGTGAGGGAAAAAAAATATTTGATCCCCTGCTGATTTTGTACGTTTGCCCACTGACAAAGAAATGATCAGTCTGTAATTTTAATGGTAGGTTTATTTGAACAGTGAGAGACAGAATAACAACAACAAAAACAGAAAAACGCATGTCAAAAATGTTATAAATTGATTTGCATTTTATTGAGGGAAATAAGTAGTTGACCCCCTCTCAATCAGAAAGATTAAGAGCACACTCTTAAAGGGAGTGCTCCTAATCTCAGCTTGTTACCTGTATAAAAGACACGTGTCCACAGAAGCAATCAATCAATCAGATTCCAAACTCTCCACCATGGCCAAGACCAAAGAGCTCTCCAAGGATGTCAGGGACAAGATTGTAGACATACACAAGGCTGGAATGGGCTACAAGACCATTGCCAAGCAGCTTGGTGAGAAGGTGACAACAGTTGGTGCGATTATTCGCAAATGGAAGAAACACAAAAGAACTGTCAATCTCCCTCGGCCTGGGGCTCCATGCAAGATCTCACCTCGTGGAGTTGCAATGATCATGAGAACGGTGAGGAATCAGCCCAGAACTACACGGGAGGATCTTGTCAATGATCTCAAGGCAGCTGGGACCATAGTCACCAAGAAAACAATTGGTAACACACTACGCCGTGAAGGACTAAAATCCTGCAGCGCCCGCAAGGTCCCCCTGCTCGAGAAAGCACATATACATGCCCGTCTGAAGTTTGCCAATGAACATCTGAATGATTCAGAGGACAACTGGGTGAAAGTGTTGTGGTCAGATGAGGCCAAAATGGAGCTCTTTGGCATCAACTCAACTCGCCGTGTTTGGAGGAGGAGGAATGCTGCCTATGACCCCAAGAACACCATCCCCACCGTCAAACATAGAGGTGGAAACATTATGCTTTGGGGGTGTTTTTCTGCTAAGGGGACAGGACAACTTCACTGCATCAAAGGGACGGTGGACGGGGCCATGTACCGTCAAATCTTGGGTGAGAACCTCCTTCCCTCAGCCAGGGCATTGAAAATGGGTCGTGGATGGGTATTCCACCATGACAATGACCCAAAACACACGGCCAAGGCAACAAAGGAGTGGCTCAAGAAGAAGCACATTAAGGTCCTGGAGTGGCCTAGCCAGTCTCCAGACCTTAATCCCATAGAAAATATGTGGAGGGAGCTGAAGGTTCGAGTTGCCAAACGTCAGCCTCGAAACCTTAATGACTTGGAGACGACCTGCAAAGAGGAGTGGGACAACATCCCTCCTGAGATGTGTGCAAACCTGGTGGCCAACTACAAGAGACGTCTGACCTCTGTGATTTCCAACAAGGGTTTTGCCACCAAGTACTAAGTCATGTTTAGCAGAGGGGTCAAATACTTATTTCCCTCATTAAAATGCAAATCAATTTATAACATTTTTGACATGCGTTTTTCTGGATTTTTGTTGTTGTTATTCTGTCTCTCACTGTTCAAATAAACCTATCATTAAAATTATAGACTGATCATTTCTTGGTCAGTGGGAAAACGTACAAAATCAGCAGGGGATCAAATACGTTTTTCCTTCACTGTACGTGACTTTAAATAAAATATTTTATACCTACGTGACTTTACCGAAAGAACCAATGAGTAAAGGTAGTTAATTCATAATAAAGGTTTTTGGGTTAGATCGTGTAAGTATCAATGTGTCGTAATCCTCTACCACCCGACACAGCCAATTAGGGATTTGTAAGGTAAACAAACGCCAATGAGTTACTACTTCAGCCCACCGGTGTGTTGGAGAGTAAATCCACAACATTTACAATTTGAGTACGACGTTTCGTTGGGAATTACATCCTGCATCATCGGGCGATTTGCCAGAATATTTTGGCGTGATCTCACCCAAAAACCTTTATTATGAATAATATTGGTCGTGAAAGCCTACGTGTTAAAAGGTAGTTAATATCGAGTCACTATTGTTAACATCTAGTCACCATGGCGCCCCTCATGACTTTGAGGATGATAGGATTTGCACAATCCAGTGTCGTATATAGCTATTCAATTGTAAATAGGTTTGCAATTAACTTAAATACTTACAACTAGGTGAAAAGATAACGTGTCTGTTTTGAACGGCAAGGTGACCAGCGGATATCAGAAAAGTTACGTATTTTTTTTAATCCATCTGTAAAGAGTTCTGAGTGTTATTTCCTCATATGTGTGATTTTCTCTGGGTGCACTAGTTTTCAGCCCGCATTCCAAACATTCAGTCATGGAATTGACAACACATCTCAATGTAGGACCCGCTTGAAGAGAGTTGAGAGACTTGGTGAGGCTTTACTGGACAACGAGCGTGACGGTATTATTATTATCGATCTAAACTTAATTTATATTGATTGTGCACTTCGCTCGAGGCACTTGCCATCGCCTACAAAATGGCGACGGAATAAAATGATTTAGATGGCAGGGGCGTACAAGGATTGAGAAATGAGGGACAGGGATAAGGGTAGAAAATTAATACATCACGACGTTTCTCCTGCTGTGTTTGTTTCACCTGATGACGGTTGCTTGTGTTGCGATCGAAACGTCGTGATCTATTGATTTTTTATTATCTACGTGACTTTACCGAAAGAACCAAAGAGCAGGGATAACGGTGTGCTTAGGGATCACAAAAGGGTAGGGGAAGGACGGGAAGGGGTGGATGGGGCGAGGGGAGGGAAGAGGAAGAGAATGGGCAATAGAGAAGCGGGGAAGCTTTACGAGAGGGACGGAAGGAGGTTAAAGAGGGGGACTGCTTATTAACAAGAATGCACCTATCTCCATCTGAAGATTTCTGACTGACAGAACATGTTTTGTTTTGCACAAACAAATGTACGTGTGCTGTTTTTGTGTCATTTATTCATTGACTCACTCGCAAGGGAGCAGCTGTGCATTTCTTGGTTTTGACACAATGGGTTCGTGTTGAATGAGAAAATAAAATTAAAGGATAGATTGGGGTTACTTTGTTTCACTTCCAGATGGAAAAATGGAGCATTTATGTAAGCAAATGCCATGGCACCAGCCACGTGTCCAGGTGTGTAGTACAATTACCTTTGGACGATGCTGTTTATGGTTCACAATGAGATAGTACACACTCGGGATGTGTTTCCAATACGGTTTCTGCAATATGGAAATGCTACCATACACCAAGCAATGGAAGAGCGACACGATCCTATATTCATTTCCTACGCTCCTTCTCACCCGCTCCGTCGACAATCCCAGCTGTCGCTCTGTCTCTATTCCCCCTCCTCCTTGTGCCCAATCACGATTCAGCTCTTTCTCGCTTCTGCCCCCCCCCCCTTACACTGGAACACACTGGCCCCCTACACGTCAAACAATCAGCTTTCACCGTCCATTTTTCGTTCTACCCTTACAACTCACTTGTGACCCTGCACAGCATGCGCCACGTGACCTTCTTTACTGTGACCTTGCGTTCTGTGACCACCATGCACGCCAGACCGTCGCTCGGTGGCTGTGCAGCTGTGCTACATCGTGGGGCAGCAGAGGGCAGCGGGGCAAACAACACTGTTGTACCGTGCTTCTACGCTCTCATGCCTACGTGAAGTATGGTCAAATAACCCCCGTCACCTGCACAGTGTGGGGAGGCCCTCATCCAGCAGGGAACTGACAAAAAAAGGTTTGCCTGCATGCATGTGCACGTAGAGTAGTACGTAGCAATACTGTGTTTTACAAGTGATTGTGGCATTATCAGAGTGCTGCTTTGAATATACTTGATGGTGCTAATGACACTACTCCCATTGTTCTAATGAGCTTTGGGTTCAATCCAAGCAAAGCCCAATCAGGTCAGCTTCCCCACTGAGCGTGTTGTCTGCGTCTAGGCAGCCAGTTAATATATTGCAGAGAATCCTCAATGTTACACTGTAAAATTTAAGTAATTAAAATGTATATCAAATATCAAATGCTCGTTCAGGGAAGGATACAATGTGTACTGGGTTTGTGGGAGACAAACATTTAATTGGTAGGCTGGCCCTATCCGAGGAAAATGGAATATCCATCATGGTCACAGGACCCCCCAAATTTAATAAACACTATTTAATGTTCATTTCAGCACGATGGTGTATATTATGGACAGGGAGATGTCTCATAAACCACAATTATTTATCAAACTGCCGAACATCTGTAACCAGCTGCCTTGTCAGGCTCTACCCCTCACTGCCCGATCACGTTGTACATTGAGTGTCACTCATTGCGAATAGCTGGCAAACACTTTGAGACACATTTTTAACCAAGCCGGTCATAGTGTCATAAAGAGCTCTTCATCAACACTTTATATCCCTGGTTCCTTCCGCTAAAACTGAGCTCTGATTTAACTTTGTACGACAAGAAAAGTGCTGTGACTGGCTGACACACTGATAGATAACTAAAGTTGGCGATAGCTTTCTGATATTAACTAAACTCTTGTTTTTTTTATTTTACTCGGTAAGGCCCACT